AGCATTGGGTTCCAATTTTAGAGCAAAATATGAAAACCTTCCAAATAAGCTTGACAAAGAATATGGTCACCTAAATTTACCAAGACAAATGAAACTGCTTTTTACATGATATTCTATTTCAAATATACAGAGCTCATAAAAGTGAATTAGATCAAACACATGAATTTTTCCTCTTGTTGGGTTAATGGAAAATGGCTAAGTCCTCTTTGAATCACACCAGTGGTTCTGTTATTCCCAATAGGACACATCTGGTAGAGTTTGGAAACATTTTTGGTCGTCGTAACTTGGGAGGTGGGATGTGCTACTGTCATCTACTGGGTAGAGGCCCGGGGTACAGTTAAACATCTTCAATGAACAGGACACTTCCCACACAGAAGAGTTACCTGGCCTAAAATGTCAAGAGTGCTGAGACTGTGAATTTGGCTTCTGCCCCAGCTCACCATTCATGCCATAGCTCACGTCACAGCTGCATCTTTTAATGGAGCCTTACAGGTCAATTGCTCAACTTGGCATTGGGTGTGTGAGGAGACTGGGAACTGTAATGTGTTTCTAGGCAGAGACGAATGCACTACTTTGAGGTTACATGGTTTGTAGTTGGGCATTCCTTGAGTTGGAAGACCGTGTGATTCTGTATTAGAAATTGGTAGGTGTGCCAGATTAGGGCTTCATGTAAGAATATCATGGGGACTCTGAATTTTAGAAGATAATAGTGACCTTTGTTTTAGGTCTGAGAGCTCTACGCACAGAAAGTCACTCGGACCCATGGCTCTATTGCGTTGTCAATTCCAGCCAGCAGTTCCAGATGCTGCAACATTGTAACTGTGGCTGCTGGGCAACATTCTCAGCAACGTGTGGCTGGTTTTGAAGACCATCTGTCTCATTTTCATATAGAACAGGCTCTGCCAAAGTTTCTGCATGCCAAATGAATTTTTAAAAAAACAACCATAAAACCATGCTATGTCAAAAAATGTTTTAAAATATTTTTATAGAAATATAATTCACATACCAAAAAACCCAGCCATTTAAAGTGTACCATTCAATGTTTTTTCCCTATAGTCACAGAGACATGCAACTATCACTACAGTCTGAGGTTAGAGTTTTTACCATTCCGGGAAGACACCTCATCCCCATCAGCAGTCACTCCACACACGCCAGCTTCGCTCCTAGGCCCTGGCAACCCCTAGTGCACCTTGGCCTCTACCAACTTGACTATTCTAGACCCTTCATATAAACAGAAGCTATCAGCACTTCACTTCTCTTTCTGTCGAAGTAGTATTCCACTGTCAGTATACACAACCTTTTGTTCATCCATTTATCCTTTGACGGGCATTTGGGTTGGTTCCACTTCTGTCTGTTGTAAATGTTGCTGATAGGAACGAGTTTTACGGTAAAACTCTCATCCAATGTGACAATGTTGCAGACAAAAGGGGGCCACATATTAAACCTGACGAGGTCAGGGGAGGCCTGCGTGGCGGGACTTACAAACTCAGAGACATAAAGTTAACAGACAGGATGGTCTGAACACAGAAGTCCCTGCCTTCAAAGCAAGTCTGGCAGGTAGTCACGCCCTAGGCCTGGAGCTTTCTTGACAAAGGTCAAGCGTGACCTTACATGAGCCTGTTTTCTGGTTGCATTTAAGATAACATGCCTTTGGAGTGTCAGACGGACCTTGTCTAGACCCCTCAGGGAACAACCTTCCAGCAGCACACCAGACCACAGAGCCCGTCGCTGTTACCCTGTTCCCACACACCGTCTCTGTCCTAAATGTTGGTTATTAACTATCCTGCACAGTAAGAAAAGTAGGTCTCTCTCCATCCTACTTTTCACACAATCCCGGAGATTCCTCCCAACTTCGCTTTCTCCCACCTCCTTAACCTGCTGCCAGAAATGGTTTTGATGTAACCTAACCCTCCTTACGTCTCCTCCTTTGATTCTAACATAAAAAACAAGGGGCAAAACTGCCACTTTCTGAATCCTTCAAGATTTTGCTTCCTGGCAATGGTTCAGTTTGGCTCAAACTCATAAAAAGTCTCTACAGGTTTGGATGTTGCTTAAGAAGCGAGACAGCGTGGTGCGTGAACACAGAGGAGAGACCACGTGAGGACACAGGGATAAGGCCGCTGCGTGCAAGCCAAGGAGAGAAGACTCATAAAACACCAGACCTGCCGACACCCTGCTCTGCAACTTCACCTCCAGAATTGTGAGGAGTACATTTCTGTGGCTTAAGCCACTGTCTGTGCTACTTCCTGAAGGCAGCTCGAGCTGACCAGTAGAGGTAGGTATACACGCCTCAGGAGCAAACTGCTGGGCTCTGGGGTAACTGGGTTTAACAACTTGCAGAACTGCCAGACTATTCGCATAGTCTTTGTACAGATATAGGTTTCCTTTTCTTTTCAGTAAATGCAGAGGAGGGGTGTACCTAAGTGTGTCTAACTTTTTAAGAAATGTGCAAAATGCTTTACGAAGTACCATTTTACATTTCCACCACCAGTGTATGAGGGTTCCAGTGTTCTATATCCTTGCCCAAACATGTCATTGTCTTTTGATTACAGTTTAGTGGGTGTGGAGCAGTATCTCGCTGTATTTTTTTTTTTTAATACACTTGACTCCTTGAGCTGCTTTAGGTTCACTGCAAAACTGAGCAGGAAGGACAGTTCCTACATAGCTCCTAGGTGCCGCATCGTCAGTGTCCTGAACCACAGAGGTAAACTTGTATTTTACAAATGATAAGCGTACATTGACACGTCACTATTATTCAAAGTCTAGTCTACGTAGGGGTGCGCTCCTGGTACTGTACACGCTAGGCGTCTTGACAGTGTTAATAACATGTACCCATCATATTATCCTACAGTTTCACTGCTCTCAAAATCCTGTTCTGCTTCTGCATCCCTCTCCCCTCCCCCAGTCCCTCTCATTGTGGCTTTGTCTTACACTCCCCCAGGGACTAATGTTGCTGATCATCTTTTCATGTGCCTATGAGCCACGCGTGTATCTTTTTCAGAGAGGAGATATAGGTCAGAGGGCACAAACTTCCACTTGCAAGGCGGGCGAGTTCTGAGGTTACAGTGTACAGCACGGTGCCTGCAGTTAACCACAGTGCTGTGCACTTGCAATGCTGAGATCTTGACTTTTTACCGCACAAAGTGTTAACTGTGTGTGGAGATGGGTGTTAATTAACTTGATCCTACTAGTCACTTCACAATGTATAAATCATGGTGTATACTTTAAATATATAGAATTATATTTGTCAATTATTCCTCATTAAAGCAAGATTAAAATGGCTACTATTTTCCTGACTACCTGATGATCATTTTCTAAAAGATTTTATTTAGACAGAGGGGAAGGGTGAGAAAAAGAGGGAGAGAAACATCGCTGTGTGGTTGCCTCTCCCGTGCCCCTAACTGGGGACCTGGCCTGCAACTCAGGCATGTGCCCTGACTGGGAATCGAACTGGTGACCCTTCAGTTCACAGGCTGGTGCTCAATCCACTGAGCCACACCAGCCAGGGCCTGACAATCATCTTTGAAGGCACATACTAAATGTGTGCCCTCAAAATACAAAATACACACAATTTTTGGAAGTGCTATCATAAACTTTTAGATTTCCTATGCTTTTAACATCATTCGAAAATAAAAACAGTTCTAATAAAAAAGCTTGAATCCTTTTACTGCATTGGGTTGTCTCTTTGTTAAGTATAAGCACTTTCTAAGGTCGAATTTGCCTCCAGCTGGAGAGGGAAACAACTCAATTTTGTCTTGTACGAGAGCCACGGTAACATCGGGTAGTCATTCTGGAGAGTGGCCTGTTCAATAGGGCCACTGTCCCCTCAGATCTGGGATCCATGTCACTGAGGACGCCTTGTGATTTCAGGGCAGAACCACCCCATTTTCTGGTAGCTGGATTCACAGGTGTCCAAAAGAAACCGCTTTAGGCATTATTAAATACATCTCAGAGATAAAAGTTGCTCTGTTTGTTCAACAACTAGGCACTGACAGCCAAATCCACGAATACGAATCAAACAGCTCTTACTGCTAGATATGAAACACACTCAGTGCAGTTATGGGAGAAATGGTAAGTGGTTTCCCAGTGTTTACTAGCTGGGTCTGTTTAGTGAACAGGATGTTTGCAAATGTTTTACTGACCCACACAACTCTGCTCTGATGTGAACCGTGTTTGCTAGTTACTCCAACCAACAGAGTTCAACAAGTATTAACGGCACAGGCAAGGGAAGGCGGTTCCTTTCTACTGACTTGAAATCCTTACTACATTTAAAAAAATAGTTGCACTTTCTTTGTTTACTTAACTTTTTAGAAAAGGAAACAGCTGCCCACTTTTTTGGTTTTGGTTATTCACATGGCAATCCTAGAACTTTATAACCATGTATTTTGGGAAACAGGAAAAAAAGCCTAAAATGGGATATACCATAGGTTGTTTTTTTTTTTTTTTTATAGGACTCAAAAGAGCCTTAAAGTTCACTTGCACTTGAAAAAAAATCCTGGACTTCTTAAAATCTTTCAGAAACAATTTTGCTCTCTCCTTTGAGAACTCATTTTGTGTTCTAAAATTCCTTTCTCGTGGATAATCGGAATTGTACTGGATGCTGTAGGAACCTTCTCACTGGCATCCTGAAACAAGCATGAAATTCTTCATAACACCTTCTCTGCCTCGTAGAGAATATGAGTAGCTCATATACCCACTTACCTAGGCGACATGTGACTACTATGTAAGTGGGTGGGAATAAAGGTGTTGTTGACTGAAAAAAACTCCACATGTCAAAAATATGTCCTTACATGAAACTGCTCTTCGGATAGGCTCTATCAGGAGTGCAGGGCATAAGAGGAGGTTTCCAAGAGACGTAGCTGACAAATGGGTTTACCTTTTTGCCAAAAGAGGAAGACCTTTGTGAGAAAGCTGAAGGGCTGGAATACTGGATAGGCAGAAAGTTATTGAGCAATTTAATAAACAACAGTCACCTATATGACAAATACTCACACAGATCATGAAGGTTAAAATTTATTTCTATTTTGCAAGGAAAAGATGCATAAGCTGCAGTACAAAAAGTTTGGTTTCAATAAACAAATTCAGTTGCAATGAACAAAATCAGTCTTGAGAGTCACTAATCTGAAATAACACAATAGGATACAACAGATGGCGTGGGACCTCCAAAGACGAGACACAGAGGTGGCCTCCGGAACACTGATGAAGGCACGGGAAGGCTGGAGATGGTGACTTTGGTCCCTGCCAAGGTCTCGTGCTGCCGCATTTGCTGTCTGTGACTCTTCCCGTTGTATAACTTGGAGACAGAGTGAATTGCTCAGTGTCTCTGATGCCATCTTGCTGGGGCCTGAGTGCTTGCCATGGCCTCTGGGCTAACAGCTCTTGCTTTACACTTGATAATCATTATAGGAATTCAGCTTTGGACTTGAGTTTTTACAAAAACAGCCTCTTCTATTTTTCTTTCCCTGGATTTAAAGGAAGCCTGAACTCTGTGCTTGCTAAAGATAGATTTGAGGAACCTCTGAGACCCCCATCTTCTCGATCAGGGAATTTTTTGACCAATAAACCTTTCCTTACTCCAAATTCTGGTATGTTGAATATTGGCCTTTTTGAAGTGTTGGGTACGTGAACTTCTGGATGGGTAACAACCCTATTAACACCGCAGACCTACTGTGAGAGCCGAATTCCCTTTGGGGTTATCAGTCACTCACAGGATCTGCTCTCTAAAGCAGCGATTTTCAACTGGTGGCTGCAAGAAACTTTAAAACGTGCAACACCTAACTATTTAGTCAGGGGCACTGACCTCTTTTCCCCTAGGGTGTCAAATAAAAAAATGACAACAGCGAATACAACAAAGTCATCTGGTGTAAACGAATCAAAATTACACCTATCTTTTGTCAGATCAGCAAAAGATGTATTTTTGGTGTGCTGCAGAATTTGAGTAGCTCATTTCTGTGCCGTGAGATAGACAAGGCTGAGAGCCGCTGCTCTAAAAGGAAGGCCTGCAAGCGGTTCACACTCTGTGCGATGCAGCAGAAGCACATGGAGACCCTCGTAAATTTTACACAATGTAGAGTTCATCCACCCTACTCTGAAGAAACACTACTGAAGATGAGCTATCCTTTACCAGAGTAGCCAGGCTTAAAATGCGTGGCTTGTACTATACTGTTTTAACGACATTTCATTTTTATATTGGCATGCCAGTTAAGAGTCATGAAATGGCATATTACTGTGGGATTTTGTTTAAATTCTGGAAAAACAGAAAGATAACATTTCATTCAATTTAATTAAATCTGAGGTCATTTAGGATAGGTGATTTTGCATTTCTTGAAGATGATCCTTTGAGTTTAATAAACATCAAGAACTCTCACAAGCTCAGTCTTGGGAGAACCAGTAAGTGAGAGCAGGGGACGATTTCAGAGACATCATTTCTTCCTTTGTCCAAGGTGATGATTAATTTTGCATTGCTAAATTCAGTCCCTAAACATTTTGGTAAGTACTGTTAGGCTTAATAATTACTTGTAAAGTATTGGTGGTTTGCATGGTAAATTATCATGCCAAGAGTATTTTTGGTCTGTTGTTATTAATGTGATAGGAAAGGGACCAATAGCTGAAAGCAAATGCATGGATCATTCTGCCAAGAACAGAAAGGGAAAAGCTGGAGCTGCAATAAAACTGCAGGGATACTATCAGGGTTGAAGCAAAAGATTATGGAGTTAGGTACATGTATTTTCATTATATGTAAATGTCTTTTCAGTATTATAAGATCAACTGACTCAACGGAAAATGCTTCCCTACGTCCAAACACATTTAAGCTCTCTTAAGGATTGGAACTATCTCATTATTTCTCACGTTTCATTATTAGCACAGCACCCAGTTAAGAAAAACGGTTTATAAGCAAAGTGCTACTTCAGAGAATATGAAATGATGGAAGAAGGGAACAGTCCTTTGTTTGCAGCTGAGAAGACCCACGTCTTCTTCGGTTAGATCTGTATTTGTTTTGAACAATTATTTGGAAAAACTGTCACAACTATTTTAAAGAAGTAACAAATGTCTGTAAAATAGGGGATTCTGTAGTACAAACAATTGTGACATCTTTTGTTCAGATCAAAACAAACAAAAAACCAGCCCCCCAAAAAACCCCACACTGCATGTTCTACAGCTCAGAATTTAAATAAATCCCCAAATTTCAACTTCCACTAAAATATTTATTTAATTGATGACATCTTACAGAAATAAATAAGAGCTGTTTTCCCCTTAATACAGACAGGTGTATTTATATGTGTATATAGTTTTTTACAAAATTGAAGCATATCAAAGTGCTTCCCCTATAACTGTAGCTCAAAAGATACACTAGGAAACAAGAACTAAAATATGCCCATTGTTAAACCATAACGCCGCGGGCTTTCTGAGTCTCAGCAACAAGGACGAGCGTGAGAGAAACAGCACGAGCTCAGAGTCCGCGCTGGGGACTGCGCTCCACGTTCTCACCTGCGTGTGTCACACACACGCTTCTCGCCATTTCTGAACCTCGGTTCTCCACCTTCGAAACAGGACAGGTATGAATTATACCAACTTCCCGGGGCTCTCGGGCAAATTAAACACGCGAATGTACAGGAAAGCTCTTTATAATATGTAAAGAGCTATAAAAATAATGGTTTCATTTCATACAAAAGAATCAATGCATATCTCTCTGGACTGAAGAATAAGCACCAAAAGTGTGTGTGTGTTCTCTCCAGCTGTTTATGTCACACCTCGAAGAAAATGCACCTGAACTAAGCACCGGAGCCTCTCGGACACATGTGATCCAGGGGAGATTTCTGTTACAGTTTTCAGGGTAGCTGAGCAGAAGCTAATGAGTCCTGAGGGTCATTTCGAACTTTGAAGGCTCACAGAAAACAAAACAAGAACGAACATCTGTATTACATCAAAGGACTAGGATATAAGCTACTACTCCTCAGTTACCAATTTCAAAGTCCATTAATTCTTCACAGAAGAAGAAACACTAAGTAATTAGCACTTGCAATTATTTGCTTATGTAAATATGACATTCTCTTGCCTCAAAGATAAAATACTAGTCATTGACATAAGTACTAGTGGCATAAAATAACAAACCCGACCGTAAATTTGGGTATTGGTGGTTAAAGTCTAGTTACACAGAACACGGGAAAGGAAAAGACTGAAGGACATCAATATCATAATGATTTTTTAAAAGCCTGCCACGTTCCCATGTCATAATGACAAGGACTAAAGTTATAAAAACTGCAATATTTACAATACCTCAATCTTAAAACATGTAAAAACTTAACAATAAAAAGTAAAAGTAGAGAAAGCAGGTCAGATAATTTCAAGGTAATCAATACACTTAAAAACCCCATTTAAAGTTAACTGTTTATCCTCACACTAATTAACATGTAACAGAAATGGGAAAAATGCCGAGTATTTTGATTTTTCACACAAGATACAGAAAAAAAAGAAATAATGGCCTAATACTAACTTATTGTTGGAATGGTGTTAACTATAATGTTACTATGTATGGAGTTATAGTCTGGACCTACTTAAGTAACTAGGAGTGAGTGTAATTCATCATCTACTTAAAACATCACTAACAAGATATTGCTGGATTATGTGCTAAAGATACTGAAGGCCCTTCCAAAAATGAGATTCACGTTGGTTGCAGAACCGGGGTCATACAAAACTAGGCTAGTTTACTTTCTCTTAATCATCTCTCTGTAAGACTGAGTGCATGGAAAGAAAAGTACATACTACCTGTCTTAATTCCCTCAGATATAGATATTCTTTAGAACAAAAATAAATGTTTTATTAGGAGTGAAAAATTAAAAATCTTTATAGATCTTCTGGAAACAGTATATTGAAAAGGGTCCGATAACTACTAGAGCACTATAGCACTGAAAAAGAGAGAAATTCATTCACTAAGAACAGTGTGTACTGACATCTGCTGGATACTTATAACTTCACTCTACAAGCTATGAAAGCTCTCAGATACGTTAAAGTCTGCGGACTGAATCAAGTGCACTTCATTCAAGGTCTTCCGTTTCTTTGGTAAACAGGTCTGCCAGGTCAGCCACGGTCAAGGCGGAGGCCTCCGAATGCTTCGCCGACGAGTTCGTGTGACTGCAGCGTTTCCAAGTGAGCAGGGTCGGAGAGAAACCCCGAGTGGTAAGTTACTTTATTTGCATCATAGGCTGCTCCAGTCTTATAAAATATAGGACTATAAACATATCATATTCTTATAAGAATATAAGGACACTATTTCTTCCTAAGTTTTTATAACTGAGTCATAAGAAAGCCCCAGAAGAAAGTAAAGGGTGGGATGGTTATAACATCTTGTTAAAATTAGTGAAGACTTCTATATGTTATTTTCAGGCTTTGTCATAAAATGCCTTTTCTATGTACAACTAATAAGAAAAAGAACAACCCCCCTCCCGACAGTCACTAGTGCTCTCACCTTACAATTTATCTTAGTATCCAAACTTAATTTCTTTCCAGAGAGTTTCAATAGCAATTCTAATTGCTATTTTATTCAGGCAGCTTAAATACGATCACTGAATTCTGTTACGAATGGAAACCACCACTACAAAAAGCCTGCAAGTTTGGGGCCAAAGCTCTTGCAGTAGCCTCGTTCCTTCCCACGAACCACCAACGGAAGACAATTTCTGGATTCAAACGGCTTCTCTGCTCACTCTGAGAAGCGCCCCAGACTCGTTCCTGGGAAGGAAACTGCTCTCCCAATCACACCTCTCACAAGGATGCAGTTAGGCATCTGTTTGTTTTTAAAATGGCTTTACGAGGAACAGGTTATGAAACAATTATTAGGAAGTTTTAGGATTCCAAAGCTGATATTTTAAAATTAAGGCTGCTTTGGTCTCCGCTGCTATTCCGCCTTTGGAGTTAACGTTACGATTACCAGCAGAGTTTGAAGTCCAGACCTTCCTATCTGCATGCGACTAACCAGGAAAGGCCCAAACAGCACTCGCCCATACTCTCTGCTGTGCATAATGCACCCCCACATTTAAGCACTAATTTCCAGGTATAATTCACATTGTACGGGGGAATTAGTACTGCCCAGGTGTAATGCGCACCCTTAGTTTTCCCTGAAGATTTTGGGCAAAAAAAGTGTGCACTATACCTGACAAAAATATGGTAAGTTTCAGTTTACAGATATCAGTGAAGGCTTTTGGGCTGGACATGAAGATAGATTTCATTTAACAATCCAACATGGCAAAGAAATATAGGATAGTTTATATATTTTCACACATTACAGTCCCTGTTAATATGTTAAGTCAAATACAGAATGAGCATTAACGGAAAATTCTGAACAGGTAAAATGCCATACCTTGCCTCTAACAAGCATTCACACTTGTGCCTTTTGGCTGACCAAGTGGCCACCGCAGTGAGGAAGCTCCAAACACTCATGCAACCTTGTACACAAACAGAAAAACCTCCCCGTCGACTCAGTGAACTGCTACCTACCTCCTCTCGGCAGTTTTCAGCATCGCCTGCATTCTTTCTTCTATCGTCGCTTTAATTAGGAATCTGTGTACAATGGTGGGTCTAGGAGGTACATAATAATTACAAGTTTAAAAACATCTTAAAACTAGTGAGAACACACGCACTTCATTCCATACACATTGTATGTCATCTGCCAGTGGCAGGTAGTAACGGAGGTGCTGGCGGGGGTGGGGCTTCAGCAGTGGGGCTTCAACACTACTTACTCCCCACAAACTAACATTCTCCTGAGGGGCACACAATACCCACATCAACAAGTACGGTACTTTGGGGTTCAGATACTGCCTGGAGGCTGGCATGTGAGTTGAAACATGACTGATGGGAAGGAGGCTGCTTAGCAAAGACGTGGGGAAACCGTCCGCACAGAAGCAGCAGCAAACCAGTGCACAGTCCTGGGAAGACAGCACGTGTGGCGCAGGCTTAAACCGTGAGGGGCAGAAGGCAGGCCAGCGTGGCAGAAGCACACTGTGACGCGCGGCAGGGAGGTGAGAATGACACCGGAGGGGTGGTCACAGGGGTGGCTACCTGGTGTAGGGTCTGGGAGGACGCGGCAGGAATTTGGATTACGTGGTGGGGTTTGTGCATGATCTGAGTTACGCTTGTTCACACTTCAGAAATCCCTTCGGCTGCTGTGTGGAGTTGGACCGCCAGGCAGCAGGTGAAGACAGAGAAGCCCGTTAAGAAGTGCTGCAGTCGGCCAGGGAAGAGGGTGAATTGGCTGTACATGGGTCTCATCAGCAAAGGCAGTAAGCAGTCAGCAGGTCTGGAATATTTTTAGGAGGCGGAGCTGACAAGACTACCTAGATGATGGCTTGAATATGTGGTATGAAAAGAGAAATAAGGAAGAGTCCGAGATTTTGGTTTAAGAAACCACAGAGATGACAGGGCCACATTCTCAGATGGGGCAGCCCTGGGGTGGGTGGCAGTGGGGCAGGGATAGTTTTGTGTTGTCCGGGTTATCCTGAGTTTTCTACTAGGCATCCAAGGGAGCCGCAGAGTCTAAAGATGCAGATGCAAGACAGGAGCAGGCACATGCACCTGGGATGGGAGCAAAAGGGACACGTCTGGACTACACTGAGCCTCCCCACGCGCAACCACAGGTGGCCTGTGCTTCTATCCGATACCAGACTCTGCCCTGAGTATTAGACCTCCTGCCGGCTCAAGGGCATTGTCCCGGCCTTCTTCCCACCTCCTGCTTCATTCGTGTCTGTTGCTAATGAATCATTCTATTATTTCTCCTGTATGAAAAGGAAGGAACCACCTCTCTTGATCCCACTCTCTTCTTTTTCTCTGCTGCAGCAAAACTCACAACACTAGTCCTACCATCTCTATCCAGGCAGCAGTGCATCGTGGATAAAAGCATGGGCTGCAGAGGCAGAGTGGCTGTTTGAAACCTGCCACCACTTTTACTACCCAGGCGCGATCCTGGACAAGTTACTTAACCCTTTCTGTGTTTCTTAATAAATAAATAAAATCCCATCCTATCTTGCATGCCCTTCAGGCCACTGTCTCCACCTCTCCACCCAAACTGGTTTTGCTCTCCATGCTGCTACAGCTAACAATCAACCCTCAATCCTTCCCTTATCTGACACTCAGACAGTACATGACACAGCTGATCACATCTTCCTTCTTGAGTTCTATTCTTTACCTGGCTCCGAGGACAGCTCCTCCCTCCAGTTTTCCTCCTAATGCATTATTTGATTCGTTTGTGTCCTCTTTGCTTTCCTTGTCCTTTTTCTTCTTCACCCAGAGCCTTTAACTTTGGGGGGCTCTGGAGTTTCATCCTTGGTCCTCCTCTCTATCCACACTCTCTTTGTTGGCAATCGCATGTGGTTTCAAGACTTAAAAATACTAGCATTATATGCTGGTGACTTTCAGATTTTTCTCCAAACTCCACACATGCTTACAGAATAGACATGTCCATTTGGGTGTCAAATAAACATCTCAAACTTACATGTCAAATGAAGTTCCCCCCTTCCCTCAGCAAATCTGCTCTGCCCGATAGTCCTGCCCTGGTTCACTGAAAGCTGCTTCATCCTTCAGTCGTGCAGGCCAAACAGCACGGTACTAACCTTGACTCTCTCACATACCATAGCCAGTCTGTCCAAAAATCCTACTGGTTCTACCTTTGAAATAACTCCAGACCCTGACCATGTCTCATCATCTCCACTACTGCTGACGGGGTCCAGGTCAACGCAACTCTCACCGAGATCACTGCAGTTGCCTTTTTACTGGTCGCCCTTATTTCCCTCTCCCCCATGGCACTCAGATGACTGTTTCGACATTGATATCATGTCGCTCCTCTGTTCAAAGCCTCCCAATGGCGCTGGGCCCTGTATAACAACCCCCCCCCCCCCCCCCCCGTCAACCACCACAACAAACACATACCACTCCAGCCAAGCTCTGTGACTTGAAAGAAATCTATTTCTTTCCTCTTTGCTTACTCTACTTCAGCAACTCTGGCTCCTCCTTATTCCTGAAGCATACCAGGTATACTCCTGACTTCAGGCCTTCCCACTAAGTGTGTATCTACGTGGACGTTCTTCTTTACAGTGCATCTCCTCAGCTTTCTTTATCCCACTTCTCACCTCTTTGCTCAAATATTACGTTCTCCATAACAGCCTTCCTGGCCAGCCACCCGTACTCTTACCCCTCCTTACCACTCTACTTTTCTAACTCCTAACACGGCATACACTTTACTTACTATGTTTATTGTTTACCATCTGTCTCTCTATCAATTTCTTGTAACTAGAATTTAAGCCCCATGAGAGCTCAAACGCCTAGAACAGTGCCTGGCAAACAGGTGCTCAATACAGATTCACTGCACAATGTGGCATCAACATGGGGGGCTGTTCCAGTTGGTGATGGACAGAAGAGGTACTTCTAATCTGACTGTATCTGATTTCCCTGTGTGAGGCAAGACCATCGTCAATGGGGAGGAAGAAGATGTGGAAGACTTGAGATAGTCTCCTTGGAAAAAAGGACACTATATTTACAGTGGAAGCATTGTAGAATTGTCAAGTAGTACTAAATGCGTTTTTAGACTTTCATCTGAGACGGGTCCAATGCATGCTTTAGAAACACTGATAAGACAAGAAGTATGTTTAGAAATGTAAGCAAAAAAAAAAAAAACAAGTAAAAACCCAGCAAATGAACAACACATAGCTGCATTTTAAATGGTATGTGGCAGCACCGCAAAACAAGCTTTCATTTATGCTGTTACTTTGCCATGATTTGCTAAAGGTCTGTTAGATGAACATGTCTCTTTCCTGCTTAAAATTAAGCCACCATGTGTCCTCTTGGCTGCGGCTCACAGGGCAGTCCACGTTTTTGAGTGTGGCACGGAAGAGTTCATCCCCGCCATCCTGGCCTGGTCGCTTTACGCCCTGACACCGCGAACCCTTACAGTCCCCAGAAAGAGCAAGTTGGTTACGTCCTCTGTGCTTCTGAAAGGTAACTCTCTCTGGATGCATCAACAGCCCTTTTTGGCCCAATTTCTTTTAAGAGTTAACCTGATAAAGTGTTTTCTGACTCTCTAGAGCAGTGATCACTCCCTCCCTTTGTTACCACGGCGCTCCTATTGTACTTTTGCACATTCCACTACATTATATTCAATCCTCTGTTTCCTGTACTACAGGGAAACCTCACTGGCACAATACATTGTCTTATGCTACTTACTCTTCAGTATCCAGCACAATGTCTGACATACAGTAGGCACTTAATCAAAATTTATTTATATATTACTTTTTAAAAAAGATTTTATATATTTATTTTTAGAGAGAGGGGAAGGGAAGGACAAAGAGAGGGAGAGAAACATCAGTGTGTGGTTGCCTCTCATATGGCTCCCACTGGGGACCTGGCCCACAACCCAGCCATGTGCCCTGACTGGGAATCGAACTGGTGACCCTTTGGTTCGCAGCTCACTGAGCTATACCAGCCAGGGCTCAGTCAATATTTATTTAATAAGTTCTTTGTATGGATGCATTTCTTTAAATAAAAGTACTATACGCTATATATTATGCTATTTGGTTTACTTTGGGCCTTGCACTAAATCTAATTATCTCTTAGAGCAGACCATAGAGTGAGGCTCTCTTTTCCTAAGGTGAAAAATTTAAAAAGGAGCTGTTTGTTTTCAGTCATGAACGAAATATGCCTTCTTTTAAAAATATGAGCTACCTGAGACAATAAAAAATCAATTCTTCCCAAAGTTATGATGGATGACTTCATCTTTGCATTTGTCTTCAGTATTTTAAGAAACTGCTTTGATGAAGTAGTATAGTTTGTGAAAGAGAGACAATAAAAATCTAGGAGAATTTGGGGGTTTGTTGTTTGGAGGAGGAAGGGTTGGAAATCTCTCAAAATGTCTTTTTTAAAAAATAAAGATTTCATTTATTTATTTTTAGAGACAGGGAAAGGGAGGGAAAAGAGAGGGAGAGAAACATTAACGTGACTGAGAAATACTCATCAGTTGCTTCTTATATGCACCCCAACTAGGGACCTGCCCAGGAATTGAACCGGGGACCTTTTGCTTTGCAGGACAATGCCCAACAAACTGAACCACCACACTGGTCAGGGCTCAAGATGTCTCTTGGTCATATATTAGTACTTGAAAATTTAATAAATGAGGAAGAGATGAAAAATGAACAGGCTATGACGAACATACACGAAGGGTTTAAACGCTGATGGGGACCCTCAGGAACCTGAAGCAAATGGGACTGATACCAATTTAAGCCCTTACTTTGTCTGGCCGATCCGGTGCACCCTTCCAATGGCCTGAAGCTCATGGGCAGGGTTCAGTATGGGCTCCACCAAGAGAACGTGAGTAGCTTCAATGATAGTTAATCCGTTAGAACCTGTGTGCAGGGGCAGCAGCAAAATATTGATTTGGGGATCATGTTTAAATGCTGAAAGGTTCTCCTAAAAAAGAAAGGTACATTTAAATTTTAGCTGGATCAGTTAAAATAACAGTGATATATTACAGCTAATGTTATACACGCTTAATGGCATCCATTTCATCGTGAAATGCAACAGCTAAGAAAATTCGATGTACAATTACCAACTTTAGAAAATGTAAACTTATTGTGTGACTTTATGAGGAAGTGTCACATCAGCTGGAGTGGAATCTCAAGGTACATGTATGTGATGTGTGCAGATTAAACTATATGAGCTGAGAGAAAGAGAAAGAGTGTGGTAGACTGAGTAAGACTCAGTATGAGGTAAGAGCCATGACTCTGCTCAATTTTCACTTGATCTCCTCCTGTGTGTCTCTCTGGGTGTGCACCTGTCGTGCTGGGAGTGATGGAGGGACAGTTGCCCACGTGTAGTTTTGCCTGACACAGTGTCTTTAGGACCTAATCCCAGGGGTGTGAGGCCCTTGCCCATTCAAAGGGTGTATCGGAGGCCATCTCTTGCTATAATGAAGAAATGTACCTCAAGTCAGAAGAATCTTGCTATGGGTACAACTGAGCAGAAAGAAAATGACTGCAGCCTCTCTACTTTGCTTTTTAATTTAACATGTCATAATTAATCAAGAACTAAGACAATAAATGAAAGTAACATAGTTAACAGAAGTTTCAATCTGCAACCGAATCCACTTCTAAAAACGTGAGAAAACCTTCCCGACACACCTGAAACGTCTTCACTCGGCTGATCTGGGCGAAGTCCATGTTGTTGTCGGTAAGGGCTTTGGAAATGATGTCCAGGACGTCCTGCCACTGAGAACACAGGAGGCAGTGAGGAGACATGCACACACAGCTTCCACACAAAGAGAATCTGGAAAGAACCTAAGTCAAAATGGGACTCAGAATCAAGCAAACACGTAACCACCAAGTACCATTCATATTAGTTACATCTGGAGGTGGTAGTGTTTGTGTATTTTTTAAATCAAATGCTGGTTAGAAATAGGGTAAGAAAAAATAAGCATCTTGGAAAACTGAATTCAGATATATATAAATAGAAAATAAATAATGGAGTTCTTAAATAAATGTTACTTACCTCTCCACAATGAAAGCTAGAATTTTTACTCAATACGTTTAGTTGTTTTTTCCTTTTCTTTTAAAAATTTTTTAAAGGTTTTATTTATTTATTTTTAAAGAGGGCAAGGGAGGGAGAGAGGGAGAGAAATAGCAATGTGAGGTTGCCTTTCACATGCCCCCTACTGGGGACCTGGCCTGCAACCCAGGCATGTGCCCTGACTGGGAATCAAACTGGCGACCCTTCGGTTCACAGGCCAGCACTCAGTCCACTGAGCCACACCAGCCAGGGCTGTTTTTCTTTTTCTTAAACAATCAAGTTCATTTGTGAAATGAGACTTTCAAAGTTATTTATTCCAATTTAAAAAAGTATTAATAAGAAAATTTCGGAGTAAATTAATATAAAAACATAAAATGTACCTATAGGAACTGTCTAATGAAGCATCGCAAAATTCTACCCAAATAATTCCAATGTATGGACACGGAAAAAAATCTGACATGGAAAAATCTATCAGTAATTCTAATCTCACTATATTACAGTCCACATTGGAAATTAGTTCTCAGACATACACCGACTGGGGCGGAAGGCCAGTCTGCACTGACACTGAGGATGAAAGTGCCGACTGTACCGTAGAAAAGACGAGCGCCTTGGCCCCTGGGTCTCGACGCTGGATCCTCATCAGGGTCCTGACCACAGCCTCCACTTTTGTAGAATGGCTGCCCTTTGAACACAAAGGAGAAAACACATTACTACCAAATCAAATTTAGTGAACAATGGGATGGAAAATAACACAAAGTACTTTTATTATCCATATGACAGGTGCCTATATGTTAACCTCCTTAAGTACTATACCGGTTGGAAATTTTCTTTGGCCTCAAAGTGTAGGAGTCACGGAATTTATACTCTGAGAGAACTGAGCATGAAAGCGCGCCCAAACTTCACACAGTGATGTGACCCTGAAGATCAGAGATTTTAGCTGAGTGGTTAGGTTTGTAATTACACCATTTTGTTACCTTGGATAAACACAATTAATATCCCAAACCACTACTCACTGCAGATATTATGGCACTGGAAGTATTGAAGGGACAGTGAATCAACACTCCAACTTAAGCAAACAGTGAAGGATCCAACCCATGGAAAACCCTTCCTTACAACAGCAGCACAAGGACAATGACAGCGGCACTAATGGTGTCCACTTGGATGAGCTTTAAACAAAGCTGGATGAACACGAGGACTGTTTTTTGTATAACCATTTCCACCATAGGAGTATGACAATGAGAAAAAAAAAGAAGAAACGGGAAAATGAAGAAAATAAGCAAGTGTTTTTATAGCCTCCACCGAGGAAGTTTTTATTCTGGAATGCTCTGGGAGATGGTAAGACATGGGGGATAAGGGCACAGGATTTTGAGTAAGACAAATCCAAATTCCACGGCCCGTTCTGCACCTCCCTAGTTGCGGACTCCAGCCTTTCTAAGCCCCAGTTTCCTTCTTGTCCAACAGGGATGATGATTGTCCCTGTTCCCAAAGGTGGCTGTGATGGTTACGTGAGAAACGCACCCAAAGCGTTTAGCCTGATACCTGGCAGGTAACAGACACTCAGTAATCGATCTCTCCGAGACTTTACCTACGAGCCCTACAGTGGGGGAGACTCGTCCGAAGTTGGGCAGACCAGCCAGCAGGAAGGAAAACTGTTCCCGCAGCAGCACTACTCCCCAGCCGGCCTCAGCACTTTCCCAGGAGGAGACGTTCAAACACAAGAATATTAACAACACAACACAAGGAAGCAAGCCCTAGTAACTGCAAGTTAGCAAGACAGAATTACAGGAAAGTTTTAAAATTCTGATATTAAAAGCCTGAGTCTCTATTATTCCTCTGGATATGCAGACTTTTAATTATTCTTGAAAGCTTAAAATATATAAGAAACCTATTTCAGTCTAAACATTACAAAGAGCAAAATTATAACTAAATAATGTATTAAGAGCAAAATGACCTGAAATAAAAGAGAAGATTAGCAGACAGTGGTCATTGTAGAGTTTAGAAACATCTCTTCAAGGTCTTATTTTAAAATAATATATCTAAATGAATATCGGGATAACTATTAACTCTTCTACCTATTAAGCTGCTTCTTATAAAGAGTTACAAAAACAGAATCATCTTTTATAAGCAGCATTTAGAACGAAGAGCTGACTCTGCCAGGTTGTTCCCTTTCATCCGAGTCTGGCCAGTCCACGGTGGCCCTCCATGAGCCGTTCCAAAGGCCAGAGTTCTGAACCACATGGTGTCGTCCGGTTGCTCCCCACTATGAAAGAAGAAGAATACGGAAGTCCAGCAATCCAAAGCTCTGCTTGGCAGAACCCAGATGGGCAGTGAGAAGACCTTAATACCATTTTCTCCCAGATGGACAGCAACTGGCTGCTGAGAAGGAGAACAATGGAGACGGGAGCAGTGCCGTGCTAATCTGCAGCTCTCGGTTGGGGCATGCACGCCCTGACTAATTTCTGAAAACAAAGCCAATAAATGAATAATGCGTATGTTAGGCCAGTATGTTTAGGCAATTTCTCCAAGACAGAGATTTCCTATTTTGACTGCCTGAAGATATTTAAATGATCATAAAAAATGTTGCTTCAAGTTACAAGATGCTACATTGCAAATCCACTGCTTCTGTGAGTCTACTGTAGTAAGAATTCATAATTTGTTATTAAATGAAAAGAAAAGGTTATACACAACAAATGATTGTTAATCTACAAAGGCAGCACAGAAAATGAAGTAAAAAAAACAAATAAAAGTTAAATAAGGATCTGGTTTCTGTCCTATTTGCTAGCTATATCACAAGCACTTTTTCCAAAACTTAAGAAATTACCAAAAAGCAGTAACCATTAATTGGACAACTAAGCTAATAGCAGTACTTAGGATTAAAAAATTAAAACATTTTCATGTTCTGAAAATGAACTTGGACTTCTGGCCAAGATAGAGGTGTAGGTAGACACACTGTGCACAACCGAAAGAAGGATGACAACAATTTAAAAACAGAAACCAACCAGAACTGACAGAAAATCGAACTATATGGAAGTCTGACAACCAAGGAGTTAAAGAAGACACATTCATCTAGACCGGTAGGAGGGGTGGACACAGGCAACCAGGAGGCAGCTGGCAGACCCGGCAAAGTGGCAGCTGGTGGAGCGGGTGGTCCCACATTTGTGTGCAGATAAACCAGGAGGAACAACTGGGGAGGAAGACAGACCGCACAACCCAAGGCTCCAGTGAGGGGAAATAATGCCTCAAACCTCTGACTGAAAACACTTGTGGGGGTTGAAGTGCCAGGAGAGAGTCCCAGCCTCACAGGAGAGTTTGTTGGAGAGACCCACAGGGTCCTAGAATGCACACAAGTCCACCCACCCAGGAACCAGCACCAGAAGGGCCCAGTTTGCTTGGGGGAAGCGATGGAAGAGACTGAAATCTGACAGAGAGCAGAGCAAGGGCCATTGTTCCCTCTCAGACCCCACCCACACATACAGCGTCACAGCACAGTGACGTAGATTACCCCCACCCTGGTGAACACCTAAGGCGCTGCCCCTCACTACATAACTGGTGCAACAAGACCAAAAGAAAAAAAAAAATGGCCCAAATGAAAGAACAGATCAAAGCTCCAGAAAAAATACAACTAAGTGACGAAGATAACCAACCTATCAGATGCACAGTTCAAAACACTAGTGATCAGGATGCTCACAGAATTAGTTGAATTTGGTCACAAATTACATGAAAAAATGAAGGAAGTGAAATAAAGGGAAGTGTACAGGGAATCAATAGTGATGAGAAGGAAACTGGGACTCAAACCAACGATGTGGACCAGAAGGAAGAAAGAAACATCCAACCAGAAGAGAATGAAGAAACAATAATTCAAAAAAATGAGGAGAGGCTTAAGAACCTCCAGAACATCTTTAAATGTTCCAACATCCGAATTATAGGGGTGCCAGAAGGAGAAGAGGAACAGCAACAACTGGAAAACTTATTTGAAAAAATAATGAAGAACTTCCCCAATCTGGCAAAGGAAATAGACTTCCAGGAAGTCCAGAAAGCTCAGAGTCCCAAAGAAGTTGGTCCCAAGGAGGAACACACCAAGGTACATCATAATTACATTACCCAAGATTAAAAATAAGGGAAGAATCTTAGAAGCAGCAAGAGAAAAGGAGACAGTTACCTACAAAGGAGTTTGCATAAGACTGTCAGCTGATTTCTCAAAAGAGACCTTACAGGCAAGAAGGGGCTGGAAAGAAGTATTTCAAGTCATGAAAGGCAAGGACCTACATTCAAGATTACTCTATCCAGCAAGGCTATAATTTAGAATGGAGGGACAGATAAAGTGCTTCTCAGATAAGGTCCAGTTAAAGGAGTTCATCATCACCAAGCCCTTATTACATGAAATGTTAAAGGGATTTGTCTAAGAAAAAGAAGATAAAAAATATGAATAGTAAAATGACAGCAAACTCATAATCATTAACAACCACACCTAAAACAAAAACAAGAGCAAACTAAGCAAACCACTAGAACAGGAACAGAACCACAGAAATGGAAATCACATGGAGGGTTATTAACAGGGGATTGGGAGGCGGAGAGAAGGGGAAAAGGTACAGAGAATAAGTAGCATAAGTGGTAGGCAGAAAATAGACAGGGGAGGGCAAGAATAGTATCTGAAATGTAGAAGCCAAAGAACTTACATGTATGACCCATGGACATAAACTAAAGGGGGAGAATGTGGGTGGAAGGGGGTGTGCAGGGCAGAGGGGAATGAAGGGGGGAAATGGAACAACAATAGCATAATCAATAAAATATATTTTTAAAGAAAAAGAAGGCAAATTTACACAACTTAGCTCCCCTTCCCCAGAGAGAATTATGTTCCTTATCAGTAATATGACCAATTGGATTATGACTTGGTGGCAGGTAACAGAATTTTCTTTGGTTTCTGTTGGTGGTTTGTAACTTGAAATAACCAGAATGTTTTCCACTACTGTTCAGTTTGGAGGAAGTCACTTCCTGTCCTGGTATTTTATTGCTTTCACTTCTTTGATTCTGGACTTTTCTTTTTGAAGTAGAGCTAACTCTTTCAGGGTGCCTGGGCTATATCCACAGTACTTCCAGCTAAGACCCATTAACGTTTTATTTCTGTCCACACCTGTCTTCCATGCTGAAAGCCTGTGTTACTTAGCAGTGACAGACACAACTTAGTGCTCTTACGCAGCTTGTATGACTGGTCTCCCAAAACGGAAGTGCTGTTCAAGTAAATGCCTGGGGCAAGTGCTGGGTTAACACTCACATGTGACTTGAATGAAGTTCAATGGGAACTCCACTGAGGTTGTGGGAAATCTTAACAAGGACACCAAAACATTACCCTGTTCTTTTCAATACTTTGCGTAATGATTTTCAAGTTACCGACTACAAAAAAATTTTAAATTTTATTTGGACTCAAAGGGTCTTAGGGATATTACATGTAAATACAATTCAATTGTCTGTCTGTCCGTCCATGCACCCCTCTATCCACTGAGTACCTGTTACATGCCAAACACTATTCTAAATGTGGGGGACACTCTAGTGAATGGAACAAAGTCCTCAGCTCAAAAACAATGTCCTTTCCACAGTTTAATGACGTTTACTCCCCACAAAGTGGAAGTTCTTTATAAAGTCAATTTCATAAAGCTAACTTATAAACTGTAGAAGTCTCCGTGGCATGTTCAATTTATTGCAGGCTCTTGTTACCTTCGACACTAGACTAACAACAGTTCAGAATTACAAGTGCTAATTTGCCCAGCGATAGAAACGTTTTTTTGTAATTAATAATATATTTACCCATGACATTTATAACAAAGACACACAATTGCATTCTAAATTTACCAGTTAATGTGCAAGTATAACTATATTTAAATAGAATCATTTGTGGACTGTATTTACCCAAATATTCTGTTAACTTTAAACTCAGTCAAAATTTTCCAATGTTTTTCCACACAGATGTTTATTTTGATTATGTTTAGAATGTACAAGACTTCTTTTTCACAAGTCACCTCTAAACCAACTGAAGAGAAACTCAAAAAAAAACAAAAAACAAAAGGAAGGAAAGGAAAAGGAAAGGAAAGGAAAGGAAGCAACAGGATTCCTCACATAGAATCTGACATATGGTATTTCTAGGTTTCTCTGGGAGTCTGAGGGCAGAAATACAGTCCTTTTTTCCCCTACAGAAAAGGCTGCATAAAACATATCATTATCAGTAGATTTACTTGTTAAAAATGAATCCCCTATCAACTTAGGCAAAACCTGTGGGAATGGGCCTGAAAACATTTTTATTCTAAAAAGCAGGCCAGTGAACTATTAAACGCTTCCGAGCGTGAGAAGGTGAAGCCCTGAGCACGTGTGTGGGACGGTGGGAAGGCGCTGCCGGTGGGGGCTACATCCGTGTGGTGTATTTTCTCCTGGACAGAAACTTCGTACGACACAAAAACCTTGTCTGTTACAGGGGCAGGGCTACCACTCAGAAAATGCTTCCTGTGAAACCCAGCCAAACTCAGGACACGGGGAACATGCCACGTGGGCACATGTCCTGCCAGGAGGCCTACTTCAGCATCCAAATGCCTGGCAGTTGTCAGAACTTGCAAGGGGAATTTTGTTTACTTTGTGCAATGCCCAGTGCGTTCCAAGGGTCATTTAGGAATTACTGTCCCACTGTGGTTAGGGTAGGTACAGTCTTTAACCTAAATGTGTCTACTGAAGAGAACACCTGTGATCTCAGTATTCAACTTATTTCTATGATCAATCAATAGAACCTCTTACATTATAAATTAGCAGTAGAAAAAATGTCTTATGTTATTTAATACTGTTTTATGTTTTCCAAATACCTATTATCTGAAGTCAGCTATGTAATTAAGCACTATGTATGACATAATATGATATATTATTTATTATGTCCAAGAGGCTCAACTATTGGCGCAGAGTGAAATAAACGTTTTAGATAATTCAAAAACTGTAATGAAATAAAAAAAATTTGCTTCTCAGGATTGTTTAATAAAAAGATCAGGAATTTGATAATCAATAATAAATAAAACCCTAATTTTAGAAATAGTTTGATCTAATATTTACAACATTTCAAAATAATGCCTAGATTAGTCACTCAGAGCCATGTTTCTAAATATCTGATCATACCCTTGACCCCGAGATCGATGACGCGACCATTCAGAGGTTTAGGCAGTCAGAAAAGTGCAGCAAGAGGTGGGGAAAACAGTGAGCTGATGCTTCGGGGAGAGGTAGCAGACACCAGGGCAGAAATATGACAGAAGAAAAGGGGACAAGTGGCAGAAGTGGCAGACACAAGTGATGACAGAAAAGACAGTGAGAAGCAAAAGTAAAGGCAGCAAAGAGCAAGGTGAGACTGTGGGAGGGGAATGAACCTTGCCTGCATAACAGGTACAATATTCAGTCACGGTGTATAATGAAAAGGAAACACAAGTATATACACATCTAACAGAAGAGAAATTAACTTTGGTAAGTTCTGTAGTCTTCTAATTTTTTACAAGATGCTTCCAATCATTCATGTGTTCATCAATACCCATGAAAGACAGGAATAAGTCCGAGCACAACAAACACATTTGTACACTCACAGTCCTGTCCCAACAGGACAACACATGTCACTGTCCTGTCCTAATCCCTCTCCTGGGTGTCTAGGAAAGCTGCCACAGGGTAAACAGGTGTTGGTCTGACGGGCCCCGTGGTTCAGTTTCATAGAGACTGGGCTGTTTACTGGTAGCCAGAGCAATCGCTTCCTAAACCTCAGTGCATCAGGCCTGACACAGCAGTTCTTTCCTATGCGGTTCCCTGTCCTGTGAATGCTTTCATCTACGAGTCAGCAGCCCTTCTTAGCCACAAATGCCATCTGTGGCCCTTGGGATGCCTGAGGCCAGGGGAAGAGATAAAAGAGAGAGAAAGGGCTAGAAAGCCTATTTCTGTGACAAGGAAAGGGAGGGAGAAACCGCCGGCGTGGGAAGACAGGAGGAGTGGGGGACAGAGAAGGAAGGCGTCCTCTGTGTGGTGAGCAGCATGACGTAACCAACTGGAGATATGTACTGCCCACCTGGACAACCCTTTCAACACTCGGTCTCACCGCTCATCTTCTAGAACTTTTTTCCTTCACTTCACTTGGGTCACCCACTTCCACGGTCACATCTGGAGTACTGAATGCCTGTCCTCTCTGAAAATAACCAATCAAGGCCACCTATTCTCTGATAAGAACACATTCACTTACAGTTTATTTGCTTAAGAGCCTGACCTACACCTGTTACTTGGTTTCCACAAGGTCTCTCTTCTCTTTCTATATCAACACTCCCCCAGTCTTTTCAAAAAATCTGTAACTTATATTACAGATTATCCCTTCTCTCTCCAATATGTTTAATCTATTCTTCTTTACTGTAGATGAAACATGCTCAAGAATCTTTTCTTTTAAACAAAATGAAAAACAATACAAAGTCTTTCTGTACTTCGTATCTGCTTTGGTCACAACTCTCCTTCCTCTACGCCAAGGCTAAATTTGTGAAAGAGTTGGGCATTTAGTCTTCCTACTTATTCACTTCCTGTTCACTTCTCATTCACTTCCTGTTCACTTCTCATGCCATGCCCATCTGGTCTTGGCCCCCACATTTCCACTGACAGAGCTCCTTCTGACATTACTAATGACCTTCATTAGCTAAATAGTATATATTGTGTTGAGTCCCCTTGAACGTCATTGGATAGTGCTGATAACTGGCTCCTTATTAAAGCTGACAGCATATTCTCCTGGACTGACTATGTCTCTAGTGGCTCCTCCTTGGTCCCCCCGCTCCACCCTTCTCAGCTGTTCCCTTTCTTCTACCTTTACACGCTACGGAGCTTTGCAGGACCTGAGCTAAAGCTCATGTCCACGGTTGTTTCCTTAGGTGATCTCATTCACCGTGTGGCAGTGAAGATCCCTTCTGCCAATGACTGCATTTTGTTTTTTAATCTCCAGCTCCACATATTAACACTTTGTTGGATTTTTCTTACTCGAATGTCTTAGGCACGTCAGAGGTAGTATGTCTAAATGCACTTTTCTTCCAAGTATCCTGATACAGTGGCCGGCCCATTATCCACCTGATTTTTCACATCAGAAACCTATGAAATCTCCTTCTTCATCAACCCCTTCAATACTCTATCTTACTAATCAACTTTCCTCTGAATATCTTTTAAATATACCCACTTCTTTCCTTCTGTACTGCCTCCAACATAATCAAGCCACCACCACTATTGCTGTAGCCTCCTAAACCAAATTTTGTCTGCACTATTATTTTCCAGAGAGCAACATGACTGATATTTTCCGGTTTTACTCAAGTAACAATGGGAATAAACAGCAATGAGATATTCTTTAATTCAACTATAGTTTTCTTGGGAGGGGACATCCTAATAACTGCCTATTATACTAACATCTTAACTGGAACTGCCTAAAAGGCAGTTTCAAGTTGTAGTTAATTCTGCTACAAAATACAACCCTTAAACATAAGGGAGAAGAGACCCTCAAAGACCAGAGAAGAAGAAATTAAGGAAATCGATTCCACCACCTCTTGCCCGAGAGCACGCTTTGCCCTTCTCCCGACTCCTCCTCACCCGTGGCCTGTACTATGTCCACACACTCATGTACTATTAGTCCTCCTCTCAGCTTGGTCAGGGAGAAAAAAACACATTTAAGAGAAATAAAGAAGAAAATGTCTAGCACAGGCGTTTCATTAATACATGTCCCTCAGGGAGGAAGTCTAGTTACAGATCCTGTTTGGATGGCAAGTTATAGTCACTTTCTTAAAATTCTGCAGGAAGTCTGGGAGAAAAAACTCGGGAGAATGAAGCCGAGTTTCGGCTGCACGCCGAAATAGTATCCACGGCATTCGAAAGAGCACTAACGAGCCTCCCGTCTGTTTTCTCCTTCAGCTTGGTTGGGGACACCCTTTTTCCCCTGATAGAAAGCCTACATGAAAAATGAGGAAGAAGCTTCCTTTAAATAAATCTCTGCGTTACCCAGTACTCCATCTGTAGTAGAGAAAATAAGAGGGAACTGGAATTCTAAGGAGTTCCTTTTTGGCCGCGGTGGGCAGGACCACCGCTAACTCTGATGGAGAATGTGCTCTGCGCTCCTCCTGCAGGAGGCGGAACGGGAAGGCCGAGGCTTTCGGGCGGCGTGTCCACAACAGACACGCTGGTTTCTACACACTCCCAGCCTCGTTCTGATGTTTACTTCCCCACTGCTCTGACTGTGCTTCTCCATGTTCTTAACCAACTTCACCTTCACAGGGATGTCCTCTTCCTGGCTGGCTTTCTCGGAGGTGAAGACGTACGAGATTTCTTTGTGAGAGGTCGTCTGGCGGCAGATGGCACACTTGATGGAGCTTCTGTGAGACCCCACGCTGTACTGCTCGATGATAATAGAAGTGCATTCATTACAGAAGCAGTGTCCGCAGGTCAGGACCGCCCACTGCAAAGGGAACACAGAACCCGCCTCAGTGAGACGCTGCCAAAGACGCCTTCTACTCCATACGCACGCTGAAAGGACCAGGGAGTCACAATTCCACTTCCTAAATAGTTCACGATATTAATATTGTTTAAGTCATAAAAGCTAAGTTGTACATTTAAAGTAACAATTTTTAAGTACAACCAGAGTATGCTTTCATAGTCTTTAGTTCTGCTAATGGTAAGCACACCACTCAGAGGGTCACTGCTATTTTTCTAGTTGGGGTTCTCATTTCGGTGGTTAGGAAGAATGGGAATCACCCCTTCAGTACTCCAATGGGAGAAGCATAGGGACTAAGAAAAACATTAATTTGAATATCAGACTCAGTACCGTCTATACAACTTATTAAAGACTTAGATTTTCACATGTTAAAGCACTTACTATGTAGGGAATAAGACAGGCTGGTAACTCAATTTATTTTAAAAGTGATCTGGATACAGTTAAAAAATCCCAAATAAACAAATAAAAAGATATTTTTGAAAATCCCCCTGTTGTATTTCAAGGAAGGTACAATAATACATTCTGGAGCATATTCTGGGGACTTCTCCCCTTTTTGGCAGTGGGAGGGTGTGTAAAAGAGCATTACATTTAATTGAGTTATCAGTTCTAAAAGCTCTGACATCTTATGCTAATCATTTAACCTTTTCACCTGGTAAAAACCAATGACGACAATAAAAACAGAGTGGTACTTTGAGTGACATGCTTCTAAGACCTAAGCTATGATGTGTATGAACTTGTATGGAAATATGGGGTGTGGCCTGGTGTTCCTGAGGTACTTTGCAGGATGGATTAGAAAGCCCCTCATAAAAGACCCCAAACTAAGGAAGAGAAACTGTGGTCTATAAGCTTGCTTTTAAAACAGTGACTGGGGATGAGAAGGGGTTCTTCAAGATTCATCAGCTGATGCCATTCAGGCTGCTCTCCAGCTGCACCTCTGCTCTCAGGGGACTGTGCCGAGTCCCAAGCACGCAGGCTGCAGGAAAGTGAAGGAGCTGTTGCACCGGCTGTTGCACCGGCATTTCTGCAGACAGAGCAGCACTGTTCTGCAGCCTGTGCATGCTCGTGCTGCTGGGGCTGAAAGGCACTTCCTTCACGCGACAGGGCTCCTGCAGCCGAGAGAGCTCAGATGGACAAACTGAAAAGAGCAGGGCAGGTTCATCTGCAGAGGAGGAGAAACCAGAGACTCTGGTACCAGAGCCTGAGGAGTGCCGGGAAGTTGACGGACTCGGCCCACTCAGAGGAACACAAATGGCACTGCCCCCAGGGCGTCAGCCAGTGCCTGCGAGTTCTCTCCAAGGGTATAAACAGAGTTAGAAAAGTGGTGCTTTCTCACTGTTATTGTAATCATCCAGCACGATCTCCTAAGTCTAGGAGACCTGAGTCCTGCTATAATTAAATGAAATATACATAAAAGAACTTTAAAGACTGGGCATGTTTAGGACCAAAATTAAATAAAATTTCTGAGACAATTTGGTCACATGAATCTCACCAAAACTAAAATCAAAGAAGCTACTTACACTGTGATCCTTTCCATTTTAATCAGAAATTGTAGCACATTTTTATCACTAACTTTTATCAGAAATCCCCAGTATCTGTACATCACTATTCTCCCACTCAGTTTCCAATGTAATACCTGTCCCTTTAATATTTATTATCAATAAAGCATCCTTCTAAAATCTTATCATCTTCATAAATTTTGGAAACTAAAGACTAAAGACCTTTTTTTTAAAATCCTCACCTGAGGACAAGCTTATTGATTTTAGAGAGAGGGGAAGAGAAGGAGAGAGGAAGAGCAACATAGATGGGTTGCCTTTTGCATGCGCCCCAACCTGGGACTGAACTCACCATCTAGGTGTGTGCCCTGACCGGGGATAGCACTGGTGACCTTCTGGTTTACAGGACGCCATTCCAACCAACGGAGTCTCACAGGCCAGGGCTAAAGGTACTTCCTTTCTGGTGACTGCTGGTCAGACTACGGAACTCATGTATTCAACTTCCCACTCTCAGTTTCAGAGGAAAAAACTCCCAAAAACACTTTTACTGATTAAATAGTAATAAACTTATCTTTCAAATTTTCAAAAGCAATGAATATTCTGATATTGTAGATACTGACCATACAAAGTTGGAATTGTAGTTTCATAGATTAAAGTTGGTAGGATAAAACTAAACTTTTTCCTCTCGTTGGGAAGAATAACATGCCATCGAGTTTACAGACATCTGTATACTAACATACAAGGAAATACACTTAATTGTCATAATGGTCTCAATTCCCCTAGGACTGCTGGTATTTGTACTTTAAATCCTGGTATTACTAGATTTTAATAGTGCTAAGTAAAATCTATGTTACTGTACCTTTGAAATACTTTAAGTAAATCAATGTGCGCTGTATTGTATTTCTGTACAATTACTGAAGAACCATGTTAAACTGACAAAGTCAAATTATTTAGACCCAACCTTGTGACTGGAAACAATATTCAAAGTTATGCATCTTTAATCAAAAAGATGGGAGTTATTCTACAAGTATGTTTTCACCTATCACTTATGGAAAACATGCTCAAACATATGTTGGCACTAAACAGGTCAGCCCAACCTCAGCCCCAACTTTAAGACAAAGATAATATTTGCCTCGTCCACAAAGTTGTTGAGAGAGAGGCGGCTGGGCGGGTGGGAGAGCATGAATGTAAAAAGCCTTTGGGGACTGTAAAGTGCTTTAGCAATGCATGTGATATCTATTATAGCTTCACCTGTTTTCCCAGCTGCCGGGCACAGATTGGACATGGCTCCGGATTAATGCCTCCTGACGTTTTGTCTTGAGACTACCCAAAAAAGAGAAGAATTCGAAAATATATTAGTTTCATTTTAAAACCTGATACATATTTTATAATTCATCTGTAGAAGTAACTTCTGGCAACTGCAATTTTAATAGCCTGATAATTGAAAGGACCTAGTAATTTATATAATATTACCTAATACTATCATTCCTGGGGTTTACAAATAATGTTCATTAAAGCAGTGAAGAAAAAAGAGAAGCAATTTTTATCAGTTTGTTAAAGTAATAGTACTGCAGTTGTGATGACCGTAGCAGGCAAAATGAAAAGTGTAACTTAGCTAAATTCTTCAATTTCATTTTCAAACTAGATTTTGTTATACAGGAATTATATATTCTTCCCGTCTGCTTACCACGGGTTTGCAGACATGGGAAGAAGCAACATTTATTTACGTAACTTCTTATTAATACTGGTTTCTTCTCAGTACTCTTTTCCTAATCTCATTAAGGCAAGGCAAATGACTAGAAATCAGAAATATTATTGACTTGAGACCTATCTAAGTCTGGGAATTATGTTGAAGTGTAACAGTGCTTCAAAAATTTCCTTAAAACTATTAAAAAAATTAGAAGGGCTTCAAAAAAGTCATCCAATGGACAGGTTTTAAAACTGAAGAAAACAAAGGCAAGTAAATTAGACTGATAGATTACTGTTCTTGATTATCCTCGACTCTCTTAGCAACTTTCGAATTTGGTACACACTATTAATTACAGTCTCAGGCAGTACATTATATCTCCAAGACTTATTTCATAACTGGAAGTTATAAAGTAACTTCCCCAATACCTTCTGACTCCCTTTACCCATTCGTTTCACCGCCCCCACGACCATCATCTCTGGCAACCGCCCATCAGTCATCTGTATCCACCAGCTTCATGTTCCGTTGTTCTTTTTATTAGATTCCACATAAAGGTGAGATTAGATGGTAATTGTGTTTCTGTCTTATTTTACTTCCCATAATGCCCTCAAGGTCCATCCATTTTGTCAAAAATGGCAAGCTTTCATTTTTTTTTTTTTTTTGGTTCACAGGCCCGCACTCAATCCACTGAGCTACACCAGCCAGGGCTAGATTTCATTCCTTTTAATGGCTGAGTAATATTTCATTATATATATACACCACACCTTCTTTATCTATGCATCTGTCAGTGGATACTTAGGTTGTTTTCGTATCTTGGCTACTGGAAGGGATAGCTTGCCACTACCCGCTTCTCCTATAAAGAAGCAGAACCCCAACAAGCAGTGGACTCTCAGTGAAAGAGTCTATGTGGCTGCCCAGTAGTGGTCAGAGAATTTCCTCTGGTGACCTTCTTCATGCTTTGGAGTCTCACTGGAGCTTTACCAGCACCTGCCATTGAAAAAAGCTGACTGCCAATAAACATGTTAACCTTCAAGTTTCTGCAGCACTCTTAAATGCAGTTCATGCTGCTCCAAGTGAGTTATTTACATTTAATCTGTCCAGATCAGGAAACAGCAATGAATGGCTGCCTCTCTCGTGGCCCCCACTGGGAACCTGGCTGGCAACCCAGGCACGTGTCCTGGCTGGGAATCAAACTAACCATCCTTTGGTTTGCAGCCCCCGCTCAATCCACTGAGCTATACCAGCCAGGGCTAGGGCTAATCCATGATTCATATAACTGTAGTTTTTGTTGGGTATAACTACAGTCTGTTTACACTGTCTTGTACTACAGAGCACACACCTTCATGTTAAGTTATTGTATTTCTACAGATCTTCATCTTCTTCTGTGCTATGTGTAGCAATTGCAGACATGGCTAGTATTCTGACTCATACAACTAACAAAAACAAACAAAACGCTGATTTAAAAAACCCAGTGCCATTAATAATTATGGGACTAAAAGATTAAATGGAGTCACTAAAGTGGTTTATTGACATACAGTAACTTTTAAAACAATACCTTTTCCAAGTTTGTTAGGTAAAGAAGCTGCCCAAGTTTTTTCTGAAGCTGTGATGTAGCAACAGCTTTATCATTTAGTAGCTTTATTCGATTTTGCTCCACCTTAAAAAAATACAAAAACTTTATTCTCTTCCAGAACAATGATTAAAATGATATCAAACACGCATAATCCTTCAATAATATAAATGTGCCCTCTTTTAAGAAAACCCACTTACATATGAAAACTCAAAATAGCAAAATGGATACTAGATAATGTATTTCAAAAGGAAATGTATGTATTTTTGGCTTTATAGAAGATAAAACTCCATGTAGAATTGACTTGTATGTCTACTTCCTTTACCAAATTAGGTAAGTTTTCTTTCATTATTTTTTCAAATAAGTTTTCAATTTCTCGCCTTTTCTCATCTCCTTCTGAAACACCTATGACTCAAATGTTGGTACATCTGAAGTTATCCCAAAGGCTCCTTAGCCTGCCTGTTTTTTTTTTTTAATTATTTTTTTCTCCTTGATGTTCTGATTGAATGTTTTCTATTTCCTTATGTTCCAACATTTATTTTATTCCTGGCTTCATCCAGTGCACTGTTGATTCCCTATAAATTTTTATTTCACTTAGTGTAACCTTTATTTCTGCATGGGTCTTTTTTATGCTGTTGAAATACCTAACGAGTTCCTTGAACATACTAATAACCAGCGTTTTGAACTCTGCATCTGACAGATTGCTCATCTCCACTGTTTAGCTGCTTCGACTCCCTGACTTAGTAGTGTGGTCTGTTGTAGAAAAGTGCACCAGTAAGCTGGATGGAGTGGAGCCTCAGGTAATTGCCAGAGCAGGACAACCTGTATGGACCGGGATGATGGAGTCTCGATGTAGTGTTGCCACTCTGTGGCTTTGTGTGGGCAAGGGCTCGGAAAGGAGACAATTCAACTGCCTGGCCTCTGGAGTTTTGTCTCTGAGGAAGCTGCCTCCCGGTACTTGCCCTGATGCCAGACACTTCAATTTCTCTTCGTATGTCACTGGTGACCTTCTAGCTGCTGCCCCAGAGCTAAGCCCAGATTGAGTGAGTCTATATAAGTCCTAAGTCCACTATGGCCCTTTAAGAAAGGACTGCTGAGAATTCCAGAGCTTCTCCCACCACCCCAACCCCCACTGGGTTTTACAGCCAGAAACTATGGGGACTTATCTTCCTGGCCCTGGGACCCCGAGCTGGGCAGTCTGGTGTAGGGCTGGGGTGCCTCACTCCCAGGTGTCCCTCCCGATTTTTATCCACCACACATGGGTGTGGGAGTGCTTGTTCCCACCTCTGCACCTCTCTGCCCCTCCCACTCATCTGGATGAAAGTGACTTATTTAATTCCTTGGTTATGGCACTTCCACGCACCTGATTTTCTGACGATTCTGGTTGTTATGTTTTGTAGTCTAGTTGTAATTTTTTCTGTGGCTGTGTGAGGAAGTGAGCTGTGTTTACCTACACCTGCATCTTTACCCAAAGTCTGGAACTGTTTTACATAGGACACTTTCCTACGTGAAGTCGGATTAAAAAAAAAATCAACTGAAATTCTATTTGTGTACCATTTTTCAGTAATACATCCATGGGATAAAGAAAAATGAGGTAATATGCTACTCAGGCCAGAGTGATTTCAAGAAATCCAGAGTAAAATCTCCAATGCCCTCATCTTCTCTATGGCCTTCCTCAGAATATAAGGGACAATTAATTAATTAATTAAACAGGAATTTGTTTTCATATTAAACACTTATTCTCAATTCTATTTTAAAAGTTAAATAAAGTAGTATATAATAAATACTACCAATTTTTCTGAGTTACAGTCTCCAACTTTATTGAAAGAAAAAGATTTAAAAGATTAAACACACAGAAGGAACAAAAATAAATTACTCATGAAAATAATATTGTCACTATGGAAGAGAAAGGTTGGTAGAGTTATCTGTTAACCCTGAGCAACAAAGAGCTTTGGACTTATCAGAAGATTAGTTGTTGATGTCTATTCATCGTTAGCCTTTGCTAACAATGACGAACACTGAGGCGGTTTTGGGTGTCCTTAGGGAAGATTTTTCTAGTTCTGGTAAAACTGATGTAATAGAACATATGTCTGACAACTGACCAAGAATATCTTCCTGCTTTTGGCACATAGTTCAAAAATAGATTAATATGAAATCTGGAGAGAGACGAATGCAGCAAAACAGTGGATTTTTGAGCAAACAGTAGGTATAAAACTGCTCATCTTTGACCACTTCTGACCTCGGTTAAGCTAAGAGAGTGATTAAATACATACTGAAGAGTTGGCCGCCCCGACTCTCTCTCTCCTGGGAATGCTGAATTTCTGTGACACCTACTTGCTTTGCTTTCTGTGGTTTACTTGCAAATTACCTCATGTGGCTCAATGATGTGAAGAACGGGGGGACTGGGCTTTGGCTCCCTAGGGTCCCGAACTCTTAGACGCTCTGTAGCCATGGCCAGTTCGTCAATAGCAGACACGCGATTCCTGAGAGCCATCCAATATTCATGAAGCAACTGGAGGAACAGGAAAGGCAAAGACACTGGTAATGCGCGTAATTCAAACTGGTTAAACCCACCAACCAGTGTCTTGGTGAAAAGTCTTCAGTGAGGTCTTGTGACATATACACTTTTTCTTCAGTGTCTAAAGTATAAGCAATTCTTAGGCCATTTTGGGGATAAGAAAGTATCACTGCCAATCTCCACAGGACACTACAGAATGCTGCCTTTTTAGATTCTTAGGGACAGAATATCCTATCACTGACCAAAGATCTTTATAGTTCAACACTAGGTTGGTGGAATCTCTGCTTTATTTTTTAAAGAAACATTTTTATTACAAAGTATTTCGTCTATTTACAATAACATGTACATATGAAATGAGAATACTAAAATACACAAGTGAGTGCCATCGTCCCATTTAAGAAAGAAAACAATACCACTTTCTTAGAGAAAGTCTCTGTGTTCCTTCTCAACTGTATTACTCTTTCCTCACACATTTTTCCACATTTTACCCCCCAAACGGGGTAACCATTATTCTGAGTTGGACTTATTATTTCATACTTGTCATTGCCATATACTAATCTACATATCCTTAATAACCTGGACATGTATGTTTTTGAAATTTATAGAAGTGGTACCAATTATTTAAATTTTTTATATGCCTTCTCACTAATGCTGTACTTTGAGGCAGATCCTGACTGATGCGTGCAGCTCACTCATTTATTTTGCTGCGATGTTATGGTGAAGGAAGGCACGCAGTTCTGGGACAACTGCATGATAAACATTTCTCGGACACAGAGCCTGGGGCCAAACTGAACCCACGGAAGAACACAGAGCCAAGTGGACACCAGACAGCACCATCTTCTTCCACGGACTGGTGTAATTAATCATGTTAATGTGCTTTTACATTAAAATAGTAACGTGAAAAAAATAATCACAAACCAATGATTCCAACACTACAAAAGTGCTAAATTTATCAAACATATGAACTGGTGGTATTATAGACAGCACACCTTCTTTTTCTGGATATTTTTATCCAGCTTTAAAATGCAAGAACTTGCTCTGGCTGGTATAGCTCAGTGGACTGAGCATGGGCCTGCAAAGAGAAGGGTTGCTGGTTTGATTCCTAGTCAGGGCACATGGCTGGGTTGCGGGCCAGGTCCCCATAGGGGGGTGCTTGGGAGGCAACCACACATTGATGCTTCTCTCTCTCTTTCTCCTTCCCTTTCCCCCTCTCTAAAAACAAATAAAATGTTTTTTAAAAAGCAAGAACGTTAGATTTAAAAAGACACTGACTGGAATTATAAATAAAATACTTCTTTCACTGCCTCACCCACTTCACCTTCAAAATAGAATAATGAATCAATAAATCCAAATATATAAAAAATTTAAAAATTAATGAATTCTGGAATATCATCTCAAAGGCACAGTTACAATATGACAAAATTATTAAGGTTTTACTATGAAGGGTCACTTTGTTCATTATTAATTGCAATGGTTTCCAGTCTTGTATACTGGGAAATACTATATTCTCCAATCTTCATTCAAAGTTGTCGATGGTTGGTTGTTATTCAGAGTGAAGCAAAACAAAATGAAAAATAATCCCTACTCTAATTTTACAGACTAGCAATGTAAGATCAACCTACAGATCAAAATGGACAGAATGTCCATTTTGACAGCTAAATAAAAGGTTTCATATATTTTAATTTTAAAAATAACTTTCTTTGAGCAATTTAATAAATAGAAGTTGCTTATCTGTTCAGTAGTACTGTATTTATTTTACATCATTTTAATCATCACATTTTAGGGAAAGAGAAATTATAATACCTAAAGTCTCTAAGCAGATTTTTAAAAACTAAAGAAAGAAAACAAAAAGCAGCCATTAAAATTAATGTGAAGGAGAACTTTCAATATTGGATAAGCGTTTTAAAATACTGGACCTTATATTCCTTCTTCCAAGCTTCAAAGAGATCCATTGAAGTACTTCCTTCCTCAATGAATGGAGCATCAAATCTATGTGATTTTGCAAATGACAGCAGAGCTTTCATAGATCGCTCTGTCTCACTTATCGCCCACAGACCCCTGCTGGTGGTGGGTATTCGGTCATCCACCAGTCCTTCTTCATCTTCTATCATCTCCTCAAAGATCGCAGTCTGGCCTTTGACTCTGAAGACACACGAGAACACAACAACAGTGACCGCTGTCCGGAGGTGGGGAAGCACCGCGAAGGTCACACTGGCAGAGCCAGCAGAGAAAGAAGGTCAGGAATGAAAATTTCGACAGTTTTTAAGTCATGTCTATAAGCTCGTGTCTGCAAGCCTTTGGGAAAAAAATATAGCAACTCTGAAAGTGCTGGAGGCATCATGAATTTGACCCATGTTTCTTGAGAACCATCTAGAAATGGCTATAAATTCTAGGCTGAAATCTTACTCTGAGAATTAAAACAATACAAAACACAGACTACCATCACTATTGACCATGCAAAAAAATAAAATAAAGTAAAATAAACAAAAACCCCAGACCACAGGATGATCTAAGAATTCACCATTAATCTCTCTTTTTTGGAGGCAATCAGAACTTGGTCTTTTCTCAATTTCCACTTTTGTAAAACAGAAATAATTTTGCTAATGTCATGGCTGTATGTACTTACTAAGTAGTTTAATTCCTTATACAGGATGAAGATTTCAAATTTGTGCTGGAGAAAGTATATTAGTAATGAGAGCTGACATTTTATAGGATGTTAACCATGCATCGAATGCTATGCTAAGTAATAATGAGCAGTTCCCTATTTAATGTTCAAAAAAATTCAATGAGGTATATGTTGTTATTGCATGCCCTTCACAAATGAGATTACGGAGGCTTAGAGAAGCGACTTGGTCACAGTGTGGGCAGGGGTCTGAGTTCTAGCACGTTGGACTCAAGGGTCTGTTACTCCCCTAAACTGCCTTTCAGTTAGACGTAACTACATGATACGCGCATCTGAGGCCAAGCTTCCACACGGTAAACCGAGCATGTTAAGTGATCAAATGCCAAAGTTTATTAAATTGATTTAATAAGAAAAAATATATACAAAAAGATTACTGTAAGGAAAATACAGCCTTCTGATTTAAAACATCAACCTTGTAAATGTCTCACCTTCCCGATGGGAAATGATCAGGGAACTTACGTGTGGGAAAACAGCTTCGACTCGTACTCCGTGAACAACTCATCAGCCTTACAAAAGACACAGCTGGAAAAGGAGAAACTGCCAGTGAGTGTTCACAAACATGACCAGCAACCAGGGAAGTTCGAAGAAAGGCTTAGTGTTTTATACCTTACTTTCTCTTTTCAACAAATATGCCATTTTAGGGAAAAAAATAGGTTTTCAGTATGGGATCAGAGTTTTTTCTTTTTTCAAGTTAGATTAATAATATATCTCTACTTCTGTTTGAATTCAAATGGAAAAACTTTTATTATAAGAAATCTAGCTTAATGGAATGATGCCATTTTATCGGATGATTTCCCCGCGTACCTACCAGTTGAGAGGAAGCCTGGCCGGGCGGAGGTGGCAGAGTGTTGCGGACTCGATGACACTCCGAGAGGGAGGTGGCTCCAGGTTCTTCACAGCCTCTCTTACCAGCTTCTGGAATTTCGTTAGTTCTTCCATTTGTGTTGTCAGTAAGAACTGAAGACCTCTGCAATCACGGAACCTAATTCCCATCACCAGCACCAAACACAACGCAAGAAATGAAATCAACCGTAGGTCACTATCTTCGAATTCAGAAAATGGTTGTTAAACAAAGAAACTGCAACATTTTACCTCGTCGCACTTCAGTGAGTTCACCTTAAGAGTGCATTCTATGGGTATCTACTAGTAGAGAAGAATAATTACACTGGATTGTCTACTATAAAAAGTCTGCCAGTTCCTGCTCCCAGGAACTAAAAAACAGTACTCAAAATCTCCTGCCTCTGCCTCAGAGGTCTCTGAAAGATCATGATCGCCACGTTCTTTCTTTTTAACGCTGACTGACTGTAGGCGTCTATCTATGGGAAGAGACAGCTGACTGCAGGAGGAAAGATAAAGACAGGAAACTGGAAAGAAGGCAAAACAGCCAAGAGATATATGTTACTTGTTACAAGACCGTGGGGGTGTGTGTATGTGCAGTTGATTAAGCATTTACTATGTATCAGGGCAATTTGCCAAGTACTTCTATATAGTATCAAGGGACACTGCGCTCACGTTATGGAAAAAGCTTAACAAATTAATTTGCTATTATGCGGCAGAGTTAGGAGTTAAACCCAAATAATGCTTTTAACTATTCTCATAAACTATGGGTGAAAGGGCTAAGAATAAAATGTATGGGTATGTGTATATGGATTTATGAAAGGAAAAAGAAAGCCCCAAATAACAAGAAATTAGAAAATGGAAAATACAAACACAATTTGGTTGCTTTCTAAGAGCACATCCTCCTCCCTAACACGCTCGTCTCCTCAAACCGGCCACGAGCCCGCTGTCCTTCCCGAAGGCTTCTCCAACCTTTCACGACACAGATCTGTCGCTTTCTGTCCTTGGAAATTATTGCAAATATAATTCATTTTATACTTTGTTATGTTCAGTTTCTACACATACTCATTTTTCTCAAATTATTCATGGCTGTTGTCTTATCAAGCTAAATTTCAGAAGGTAAGAATTAGACATCGCTCATAGCTTTTTTAAAAATAAGTGTATGCAACAGACACAAAGTAGCTGTTGAGTAATTTCTAAAAGAATTTGTGTAGTGGTAATTGAACAAAGTTTACACAAAGAAAATAACTGTTTTTCTCTCTAACTTATTAAAAATTTAAATCACTGTTCAATAATTAACTTTTGAACCAAAGGAAAGAAGTGGCTTCGAAAAAATTCTCCTTACTGACTTATGTCTGAGCCATGTGACTAGGGCCTGAAAAATATCACACATGAGCATTTAACAAGTCTCACAATGTTCTTTCTTACAGGACCTTCCAATGAAAGAGCAGAAAACACAGCAACAGAAGGCAACTCTTAAACACCATACCCATACCCAATGGCAGATGCCATTTAAAGTAGCACTTGACAAATACTAATTTTCTAATCTCTACAACAATGCTGTGTGGTTTTATGGATGAAAAACTAAGGCACAGAGATTATATTTCTTCTCCAAGGTCACAGAGCTAGTAAGTGATGGAGCTGGGACATGAACACAGGCGACCTGATGTAAGAACCTACCTGTGCTCTTAATCACTAAGCTACGTAGCCTTTCCCAAGAATCATTAACAAGCAGACATGGTCTGGCTTTTGAGATCTTAATGTGTTTTATTACTTTCTTTTGAGTATAATTTTTTTGTTGTTTTTAAAGGATGCTTATATAATATTAATGGTTCATTTTACATCTCCTATTGGTCCTTTTACAGCCCTGGGACCTCAAATAGTAGGAGATATGTTCTAATATGGGATTTAGAACTTTTAAGTAATTTCTATATGACTTAAGAAAAACAAAATTAAGATATTTTAAATGTTTTCTTATCAGCTGATTCTACACTGTTGGCAGAACATACTGGGATGCAGAAGTGTTTTTTGTGTGTGTGTTTTAAGATAAAGGGGAAGGAAGGGAGAAAGACAGGAAGACAAACACTAATGTGAGAGAGAAGCATCAATTGGTGGCCTCTTGCATGTGTCCTGACCAGGGACCGAACCTGCAAACTAGGCATGTGCCCTGACCAGCAACTGCACCAGTGACCTTCCAGTTTGTGGAATGACATCCAACCTACTGAACCACCCTGGTCAGCGCTGGATACAGTTTCTAAACTAGATAAAAATGAACCATGCCATACATGACAACTTATTCTGGAGCAGCGATTCTCCAGCTTAACAGGGAAAAAAGAAGTGTGCTCAGAATCTAACATACTGCACATATTTCAAAAAGAAGCAGCCCATCAGGTTCTGCATGGGGAAAAAAGGTAACTATAATAATCTAATCTACATCAAGTAATAATGACACGTGGGTAATGTAGCATATCTCTTCTGGCCCGACACCTAGATTCCCCACAGCAGGCAGAAATTCCTCTGGGTCATGCCACTGACAATACTTCTGACAGTACTGTTCTTTGGAAATAACCAGTCACTGTTTCTACACCTAGATCAATAATCAATTTACCTATGACTGCTGAAGAATGGTGTTGTGGAGAAGAAAGCTGGGGAAGAGAGAGCAGGGAACTCTATAACATAAAACCTGCCCCTGTGGTACTATGATTATATAGGGATTATAAAGGGAAGTATGAATGCCTTACTCACACCAAGGACAAAATTCTCCAAAACAAGGTCTATTTCAAATATTTGCTTAAAGTTGGCTTTAAGCAACTTGCCCAACAATGACACAAAAAATAAAAATACTTCAGATTTTTTAAATAAGTAAAGCAGTAAAAAGAGAATATTTTAAAATGACTAATACAAGTGAGAAAAGGGCTTCTCTTTTAGACTTATATGTAATATTCTGGTTTGAATTGTACTCTTAAGAGCATGTAAAACCCAGATGTTCATAATCATAATATGTCCCTACATTTAATCGTACTTCTTAATCCCAAAAGATCTGAATATCTGGGGTAGCTACTCATACAGTATTCCACTTTGCACTATTTTCTTACATCTCTGCCATAGAAAGTTTGCTGGTTTGTTGCTTGTAGTTGCTGGTTATTTCATTTCGTACGCGTTGAACAAGCTCCTCATCAATAGAAAATTCTATTGCTCTGTGGATCACGTTTAGCCACCAAGGAGAATTAGAATGAATCTGTAAAACAGACAAGTGCTCATCAGTGAATGCTGTAGTACTCACTATGGTGCGATCACTGTTTGTATCGTTTCCATCATCTGCTGTGAAAAATTCGAAGGTAGTGATAAACACTACTCCAAGGGGAAGTCTAACAGCAGTGAGACAAGTATACATTTCTCTATATTCAACAGCAAGTACAACTTTTGCATAATACAAAAAGAGAAAACGTGTTTCCTCACTACTCTGGATGAATGGGAACTTACTGTGTACACTTGTGTGAAAAACTTGTGCTAAAAAATAGTTCACCAAAATGAAAATTCCGCACTCACTCCACAGGTGTGAAAAGGTAGCAGGTTTCTTTCTCATTATATAGACATCATGCTGACACTCAACTAACTGAACTGGATCCTACTCCATGAATAACACGTGATAACTAAGAAAATCGTACGCCTGAATATTAAATAACTAATGAATGAAGAAGAATAAAATGAGGAGTATTTGGTAAAAACAAAAAAGTATGTATTAAAAATATGAGGATGTATTTTTGTGGCCTCCTCTTTTAGACTTTGCTACTGATTTCACAAAAGGGAAATTTTAGAAATGACAAATGGCCTGTATTTCATAATAAAAATACCTGTGGTTCTAATGTTCTGACATCTTAATAGAAAAGATTTTGACAACATATACATTTAAGATTAAAAGGAGGTTATAAAAGTCTTACTTTCTTCAAAAGACAGCCCAAGGTAAAAGAAACCCCTTAGAGCTTAAAAGAAATGAAAAAGAGTAACTGTACAAATAGGTGATTTATCTATGTACCTGTTCATTCAATAAAAAAACACTGCTAACAGCAAATAAATTTATACTGTGGGACAAGCACAGTGGCAGCGGCTTAGACTTCCAAGTCGATGACAAACATTCAAGTCTCTCCCCACACCAAAACAAAAGCGAAAAGCTCTGTGGAGACCAAGACCAGCGAGGCAGTCAACCTGGGGACGCACCTTTCTCTGGAGCTCGCGGATGGTCTGCTGCGCGGGCTGCAGGGCCTGCTGCGCTTCGGTGACCTCCGTGTTGCACTTGCTCATGTAGTGCTCCCGCAGCTGCCGGGCCTGTGTGATCGCAGCAAACGGTGTCAGCTTTCACGGCAGGTCCAGAAAACCATTTCGCATGACATGTCAATCACAAGGTGGCGATTTTTACATATTTAAAACTACTTAACTCAATCTAAGCATAAAACTCTACACGTATACTGCAGAGACATAAGAGCCATGCCAGAAATTCTTATATTCAGGAGAGCACATTCACCTGTTAAGTCATAAAATTTAAGAAATCCCAAGCGTTTGCTCTCTAAATGTTTATCAACTTTTTGACTAAAACACAAAAAAGGGAGAAGAACAGTGACATTTAAAATTATACCTTTCAGAATCTGTTGTCTGATTAAGTGACATCAGTATCTTGGAATGTACTTCAGTTTGGAAATAATACTCGAGAATATAGAGTAACACAGGTGTTACAGACTGACCTGTGTTCTCCGCAAGCCATATGGTGAAGCTCTCACCCCTAATGGTACTACGTTTGGAGACAGGGCTTTTAAGGAGGTGACTAAATGAGTGAATATGTTAAATGAGACCATAGTTGTGAAGTCCTAATAAATATGGCTGGTTGCATTAAAAAAGAGAGAGAAAACAGGGATTCAAGCAAGGAAAAGGCGTGGTGAGGACAATGAGAAGGTGGCCATGTCCATGCTAAAGAGAGTCCTCAGGAGAAACCAGTCCTGCCAACCCCTTGATCTCAGCCCGCCAGACTCCAGAACTTTAAGAAATTTCTGTCCTTTACCCGCCCAGTCTGGGGCATTTTGTCACGGAAGTCCTAGCAGCTTAATGTGCTGACACATAGAAATACATCCACATATATAGTATGAACCCTCTTCCTCATGATGCATTTTTCCTTTTCTTCTCACAAACTTCCAATTCATTTTTGAAAATTAGTAATTAGTTGGTCATTAAAGCTCTCTATTAATAGACTGGACTGTCTCCCAGTTTCCCGTCACTAAAGGTGTTTAAACAAAGAGTGACTGACTAAATGCAAAGACCAGATGCAATGGGAATGACAGTTCACTCGGAGATTCCCAATAAACGGCTGTCCAACATTCAGAAAGTGCTGTGCATCCTTACACATCATTTTTATCATTGATTCAAATGAAGGCTCTACTTACAAGTCCAATACATTTCAAACATACCTACTACTCTTTAAATTTAAGCTTTGCATCTCGGTTTAACCTTAAAAAAGATAAAACTCAATGGGCAAATTAGCATAATAAGCTTATTAACAATTTACAGTGAGTTAATTTATAATGTCACTCTTTCCAGAGAGAATCAATACTCATTATGGAAGGAATTTCTTTGAGGACATAAGAAAATCTGAATTTACTGTCGTAAATAATAAACAGAAAGGTGACAAAAGCATAACGTTTTCTATTTTTACTAAACTAAGTCTTCTGCAGATCTGGCACAAGATCCACAAGGTCTCCTTTCCAAATGGTTTTTATTTGTGCTGTTGACTATCAGCAACCACTCTACAACAAGCGGCAGCCCTACAGCTACAGGCGGATCAGCAGAGGGCGCAGTGAGCATGGCCACTCTCCACCACCCGAGTCCCCACAGCGAAGTCTGAAACATTGAAGCAGCAGGGAAACACCGTTGTTACCTTTACTGAGATGTTGTGAGGCCCAGGAAACAGCGATTAGGTGGACCATGAAACCTGAAAACCATATTCTTTAAAGACAGAGTGAAAAATAATAATTACCTCTTCCTCAAGTCTGCCGTCTCGCAAGGTAGGAGGTATCCCTGGGTGCTTGGCTACCAACAGTTCCATCAAATTATGAGTAGCGTGAAGTCTCTACAAACATGGAAAAGGCAGCAGTTACGAGCCACGCAGTGACCTCTAAGGGTGAACCCACTGCTGGTATGGCCTGCAGAGGCGCGACCACCACACACTCCCATCACTGACCGGAGTACTCCTCTCTCAGAGAAAACCAAGTCAGTTTTACAGTGACTGTCTTAGTTCATGGCACAAATGTTCTTCAATTAAGAATCTAGTCTTATGAACATATCTATGTAGTTAGCAAAGTATGTAATATTTTTTCATTTTCTAAAATAAAAATGTAGAGTGCAGAGACTTGATTCCTCTTTTGGGAAATGAGTCTGGATGATCCTAGCAAGTGTATTATGATAAAAATAACGGTAATTAAATACAGAATAAAACAGGGCTGTGACCTGGAGCTGCTGAACTTAAGGGCTGAATAGGGCATGGCTGGAGGTGAAGATGGTTTAGGGAAACTCCATCCTAAATCTCTGTATTCAATCTAAGCCAGACTCCTCACTGTGACATTAAGTCTACACCTGGTTAGAGACTCTTGGAGCCAAAGGTTATGAGAAGAAATAATGTGAAAGTAATTTCTATCTGTTAACTTGGGAAGATAGGTAAGGGCTACAGGATCAGGCAATGTTTTTCTGGAAAGATCTGATTTGGTGCTAGTGATTTGAGACCATAAAGGTTTACTTTGTATGGCTACAGATTATAAACCATGGTATAGATCTTTGTAGAGTTAACTTCAAAGTTATCAACTGTTTTAAGGTCTTTTCAGTATGGCTCTGTAGGTAATACAGTCACTATCACGAAATTTAATAACAACAAAGGTGTAAACAACACTAGAGACACCATGGGGTAGACAGTCGTCTCTTCTTGTCCGTGTGCTTGTGGAAGAGGACTTCTGGGGCTTTCTGCACAAGGTGGTGGAATGGATGGGAGAAATGCTGGTCCCGCTCCCTCCTTTACACATTTCATCCCAAGGGAACAGAGTGGCCAATCTGACTACACAGGGCAAAACATTCAGCAGGCGGTGCTTTCCCAGTAAGTGGGGTTGTTATGACCAACAGGGAACCACCGGCTGGTTGCTTGTTCTTGCCCTTAGGCATTCTGGACTTACTTGTCTTGCTTATTCTTCTACCTGTTTCCTCTGTTCAGGAGCATGACACCTTTGCATTCTGTACTCCTTATCCATGGAGAATACATGCAGACTTGTATTTACTTTCCCCTCTACTTCTCTCTCCCCCAAACACACCTACCACCTGCCGAAGCACATGTGGACATGCAGGTCCCAGAGTCTGGATTCTGAATGATGAGGAAGTCTCAGCAGGGACTCAAGCCTAAACTTACCACTATCAATAAAAGTGGTCCTATTCACCATTCAGCTAGAGCGCTGTCTACATAACCCACCTGACAGAACCAAGAACGGGGAAAGACTTCATACTTCAATGTTGTAATTCAAATGGCCAGACATCCTTACAAGACCTCCAAAAACTAAATTACAAGATCACTGGATAATATTTATTGTTACTTAGTCCATTGCTGACTTGAACTCATTTTCTTTATTTTTTGGTGAAAATCATGTGAATAAATATGTTGATATTCACATGCAAACGGTCATAAAAGTGCCCTCATTCTTTGACGTACAAAGAATTCAAGCTGTTTTTCTAATGTAGGTTGGATTTAGCTAGCTAGCCTTGTGCCAATACTAGCCTGAGCATATGAAATAGTAATGATTCTCAAACTTTCACGTACAGTCAGCCCTCCATATCTGCGCGTTTCCATTTGCAGATTCAACCATAAATCAACAATATTTTTAAAATTCCAGAGTTCCAAAAGGCAAAAGTTGAATCTGCCACGCACTGAGCACTATGCTGAGTGCACACGGATGAAGTGATGTGTCAGCGCACCCTGCTGTCGCCTACATGCACATGCAGGTTATATGCAAAACGGTGCCGTTTTATATGACAGACTGGAGCACCTGCAGACTCTGGCCACTTATAGCCGGGGGTCGGGGGCTGTCCTGAACCAATTCCCTGAGGACACTGAGAGGAGGCTGGATACGCAAATCATCCTGGATGCTACTAAAAGGACTGAATCCCAATCTTCATCCCCAGAGATTATGACTCAGTCCATTTGTTACCCTTCACCTTCTTCAATATTCAGAAAAACTATTTCATATAAAACCAAACAAAATATGTACTTGAAAGTGTTTAGTCCGTACTCACTTGGAGCGAGTCGGTCTTGAGCTTCCCTTTGTGCTCCTCGGACGAACGCAGCACTTCTCGGTACAGTTCTGCGGCCAGAGCGTACTCGCCTGAGGGTCAAAGTGCACTCAAAGCATAAGGAAGTCAAGTACCAGGCTCCTAATGTGGTCTAGTCATCTAACACTAAAAACGTAACTTAGAGACTATAGGTCACTATTTAAAAAAAATAAATTAGACTTGAAATTAACATACTGTCTCAGTAAAAAAGCTGATGATAGGTCCTTTTTTGTTAATTTCATGGAACAGAACAATGATCAAATGAATTTACCAGGTTTTAAAATTATACTGAATACAAACTCTGAATTAACTTCTAATTTAAGTACATGATTTTCTTTTCACTGAAGCCAGAGTACCAATTAATAGTTATTATGTTTGAACTTAGGACAAGTAATATAGTTATTTATATTTTAAACAAATATTAAAAATACTATGACCAACCAACTCATAATTCTCAGAAAATTAATACGGTTTTCTTGATAGGTGATGTTCTTCTTGGTGGCTAGAATAATTTGTAATTAAAAACTACATTTCAAAAACTTGAGAGATTCTTCTTTCCACTTCTGGTCACGCAAATCACAAGCAGTCTGAGATGCTGTTTTGTATTGTCCCTAATTAGCAACTCATTCAAATAAAATAATTCAAAAGGTGTCAGTTAAAAGTATAGGTTGGCAGACTATGGCCCATGGGTCATATCTGACCCTCTGTATTTTTGTAAGGACCTAGCTAAGAATGGTTTTTACATTTTTAAATAGTTGAAAAAAATTCAAAGGAATAATACTTGGTAACATGCACAAATCAGTTAAGTTAAATTTCAGGGTCCATGAGGAAAGTTCTATCGGCGCTCAGCCGTGGTCACATGCTCATGTCTGCTTTTGCACGGCAACAGCAGAGCTGACGAGCCACCACTGGGCTGTGGCCCGCAGAGCCTGAAGTATTTGTTATCTAGTTCTTCCGGAAAGATTTTCACGACACCTCAATGGAAGGAGAGGTGAAACATTTTTAATGGCATGAGTAATGAAACCTATCTTACTTGCTGCCTAGGGAAAAACTTTAATCTTTATAAATACAATTGAAGTAAAAATCTAAAAGTGGCAGAATCATGAAATACAAAATAAGGCACAGAAATGTTCTAGTTTTAGTTTATTGGGAACAAAAGCCTTTATGTTCTGTTCCTTCAGAGCCACCATGACTTTTCTCTGTATATACAGCTTCATAAATTTTGTTGCTGGTTCTCTCTCTTTTGCTATGCTGATTATATATAAAAATATTTTTATTGTAAAATACACATAACATAAAATTTACCATTTCAACCATTTTTAAATGTGCAGTTCAGCGGCATCAAGCAGTCACACTGCTGTGCAAATGTGTGCTTTTACACCACTGCTCTACACTGGGTTCTACCAGTTACCGAGCACAAAGCTTCCTAAAGCACGTTTTTCATCCGATGTTATTGCCATCCGATTTTGATTCATTTTGATAAAAAAGATTAGATTCTCACAATAAAATCTCATTATAATATAGGAGTAACACTCAATTATCATCCCATAACGAGCCCTCTTTTTTAGTTTTGAAGATTTTTGTGAAGCTCTTCAAAAGACTTACGCATTCTCTTGGTATTTATGCTATCACTTACAGAGAAAAATTCATTTGAAAATGTTTCCTTATAATTACTATGCCTTTTAAAGGAGGTATAATGACTAAAATATAATGTAAGCAGTTGAATTTGAATTATTCAGTATAATGTCTATTTTTTATGCTTATTGAAAAAAGACATGCTTTCTTGGGAAAACACAAAAATATGCATATTTTATAAGTTATATAAGCTTCAGTCAAACTGGGACATACCCACTCCTTGCCACTTGATGGCAGTGACATTTTCCAGTAAACAAACTTTATTGCGTTTGATATTGCCGATCTAATTTTCTCCAAAACACAGGGGCAGTAAATATATTATACAAAGTTATAACAATACTATGTTTTTAACATAATCAGTGAGGACTTAGAAAAAATGTACATTGTTTTAACATAGTACTGTGAAGTTAAGCAATGGAAACTAAAAGCAGTAAATTCACCACAGTTAGGTTTATGATTACAATTAAGAATGGACATACCCTTTACCAATGGGCTTTCTGGTAGAAATTCCTATTGACAGAAGCACAGTGGGAGTGCACTGGAAAACATCTGAATGACAGCGATGCCCCCCCCCCCCACCGTGGGGCTGCACCACGGCAGGCATGCTGCCCCACAGGAGCCGCCTCCATGGTGACCTCGCTGGGGTGGGACCGTGTTTGGAAATGATTGGGGAAAACCCTTTCCCCCAACTTATGTCATGTGAAACCACCGCACACAAAACAGAGACAATAAATCTGACCAGACTAGACCAACAGGACAAGTGAAAAAACTCATTAACTGTCTAAATTTCGGAGTAATAACAATGTAGAATAAAATCAGAAATGCAGTTTTAGAATCAAAAGGAGAAATGTGAAATTATTTTTATTATTGTGACACCCTACAAGTGGTACATTACTCCATTTCATAAGTTTTGATGGTGAGTTTTAACCTACTATAGATAGCATAATATTGAAGTTTATAAATGTGGCTTTGCTGAAGAAGCAGACATATTATAATAAAAACATTAAATATTTGATCTGAAATCCAAAGATCCAGGGCAAATTCTCTGCCATTTATTAGCTATAATCTTAGAAAGCAACTAAGCCTTCTTAAAAACTGAATTCCAGTTTTTTTATACAAAATGAGGACAATAATATCTCAATCACTAGTGAATTATGAGGATAAACTGGAATATATATGTGAAAGTATTATAAATAATATAAAATGTATGTAGTAATATGATCACTTCTCAGATATGATGCTGGATTTAACTACCTAAATATTTTAAATAGTATATTATTCATGTATCTTGAAGACCAAGCACACATATTCTTTCTCTGCAGTAGTCAAGTATTCTGTAAATTTTCATCATAATTATTCCACTCCATTAATTTGGAGTTGTGACACACTGGTATTAAATATGAGATATAATTTCCCAATTTATGCCTGAGTATTTCCAAGTCAAAATAATTTAAAAAGTTTAATTAAAAAATAATTCCTACTAAAGTTTCTTTACTTAGCTGTTCACTTTGGCTTATGAAGCACAGACCATGTTAGCCTGCAGACCAGAATGCTCCCGAGTCTCACGTATGGTCGGCAGGCGAGAGGGCAGCGATGACGACAGGGGCGAGGAAGAGTTACTAGAGCAAACCCAAGCTTGCCGACACTGCTGGCTAAACTGCAGGTTGCCAAGGGGGTGTCTTAAGGGACAATTCGCTCACAAAAGTACATGTGTTAAATTTAAACAATTTGTCAAATTTATATAACAATATGCCCTTTTCTCCTATTATTAGTTATTAATACAATTTGCATTGTGAGCCAGTGGTAAGAATTTGAGGTCACCCTGCACTCCTACTTTACGTCTATGTTTCTATCATGTTTTCAATGGGCATCCATACTTCTAAGAACAACACTTCAAGGCACATGAGATTACCTACTTTACTGCTAAGGAAACAGATTCAGAAACCTTGAATAAGATACTCAAGTTCAGCCCTGGCTGGTGTAGCTCAGTGGACTGAGCGCAGGCCTGTGAACCACAGGATCACGGTTTGATTCCCAGTCAGGGCACATGTCTGGGTTGCAGGCCAGTTCCCAGCAGGGGACACACAAGAGGCAACCATACATTAATAAATAAAACCATACGAAGATAAATAAAAATCTTAAAAAAAAATACTCAAGTTCACAGGACTACAACTACAGCAAACAAGAAGCTTCATCTTTTTAATTTTTCACTAGAGCTACTTCTTCTCAGCATCCCTGAGTCTTTCTAATGCTGCCCAAGTATCCAGGATTATAAGAAACACTTTCTAGTTCTAGTTCTTTTATGCTTAAGAGTTAGAAACTAAAGTCATGCCACTCCATTTAAGGTGACTTAGAATATTTCCTTAGATTCCACAAAAACACATTTTTTTTCTGGGCAACTGATTTCTTTAAAGCCTTATTACACAAATGAGAATAATGGTAAGTTTTTTCCATGACTGTGTACCCTAATAGACCAGTGGATTAACAATCTTTGTGGGAAAGTTAAAGGGCACTGAACTTTATCATAAAATGTCTTTCCAGCTCAAATGTCTCTCTGGGTCTAAAATTATAATCATAAGCTATTTTAGTTTTTCTAAGAAATGCAGACATACAGAAGCATTTGCAGATCCTAAATTATCACAGTGCTTAAAATTATATATTATTTCACCTTATAAATACTTATGCAACCTAAAGGACTATATTCTACTTATTTTTAGAGAGGAGAAGAAAGCCCCTAAGAGTCACTATGGTTTATTTTAAAGGCTACAAAGCTGTACAATCTCTTATTGAATTAGAAATGCAGTGACAGATTGAAGCAGTTGTTGAAGACAGCACTCGATGATTCATTACAGCTGCAAAAGCAACGCTTGAGTGTGAACAGTCAGAAATGTTATGTTATTAGGCAGAAGAATCAGAGACAACAAAGCAACCACCTTCTACCTTTAATGATGTGGATGCCCGCCAGGCCATTGAGAGCACAGACTAGTTGCCGATGCGCCTCCTCACACTCGGTCGCACATTTCTTCTGCAGGGACGTGAGAAGCTCTTCCATCGTCATGGTGCTGAAAGGAGAGGCAGGGTGTTCGGAACTAGAGAGAAAATGTGGAGTGACAGGAGTATATCACATGAGACCATCAGACTCTTAGAGTCTCTGTGGCACCTTCGGCATCGTTCTCTTCACCTCCACTCTTACCAAAATCACTTTGAACTCAATGACAGTCATCCTCTTATGTGTGGGGATACATTCCCAGACCCTAAGCAGATGCCTGAAACCATGGACCGTACTCAACCCTGTAAGCCAAAATACATAAGAACAAAAGCCTTTCGCATCTGGAATGAAGAAAAAAAAAATCAAAACAAAACTCTATGGAAGTACAAATTTGAAAAAAAAGTTCAAAACCATCAAAATAATTTTGATGTGATTCTCTTTCACAAGCGGGATTCTATACCACAGACAAACCACCACACTGACTGCTAAAAATAACTGAAAACTCAGGGACAAGGCTGTGAAACTTGCTTAAATATCATCTATCACTACTATACTCAGTTGCGGCAGAAAGAAAGGGATAGTAAAACCTCTTCTGGAGTGGCAGGAACTCCCCACGAACGGCCTGTGGGTGGCAGCAGGCCTGTCTGAGCCTCAGCAGCGGGTACAGGATGGAGGTGACAGTCCTTCTGTCCAGGCTACTGAGCTTCAGGGCCCAGTCGGAAATCTTCCTGAGTTTGATGACCGCGTCCTGGCAGCACACCTCATGCTGCCGGTGATAGAAATGTCTCTCCACTGGAGAAAAGTGGAGCCAGTGGGTTTCTTCTGTCTGAGGAGGTATCTGAATCTGTAGACAGAAAAAAAAATAGGTTTCACCTGGAAATTTAACTGTCCATCCCATCTCCTCTTTTTTCATTTGAATACCACTGATCCATACAAACAGCGTACTGACTTGGTCAATCACATCTTTCTTCGCAGACCTCCACAGAATCTTGGCAATGAAACTGTAGAGGGCCTGAGGCTTCTTCTTGCAGTAAGGGCGATACAGAAGTCGAACCCACCAGTGTCTAACACAGAAAGGTTCAACACCAAGAAAGACCACTAATCCAAAAAGATCTGAAACATAAGGAAAGAAAGTACATTGAAGAATAACTTCTGTACTTCTTTGTGACTATTCTGAATAGCCACTTGCACAGACATTTCCTAGCACATAGTACTTTCCATGAACTAACGTGTAGATTATGCAGGCTCCTGAATCTGAAAGTCAATTCCAATTAAATTTACATTTGCTAAGGATTTATTTTGCTATGCATTTTGTGCTAGGAGCTACTTTTAAACATATGTATATATGTATGTGTGTATGTGTGTGTATCATACACTAAAATTTACAGATATAACGTCTGCTGGATCAGAAAAAAGATAATTACAAAGGTGGCATGGAAATATTCTCTGATCTAATAATCTTCAAATTCTTTGATCTAATAATCCCATTCCTAGGAAATATAAGCTAATAAAATGACAAAAGATACAGATGAGATACACCTACACAGTGATAGTTATAGTAACAATATCTCGAATAAAAATCACTGGAATAAAGAAATGATTAAATAAATTATGATCTCCCTCTCCATACTATAGATTCCCCCAAGCCCCAATCCAGCAGGTCTTATGTTTATTAGTTTCAGAGCACGGTATTTCTTATGTATTTCTTATTAACCACTGGATATTATATTGCCTCCTTTTGCCCATTTAACATTATAGTCTCCACAGTTTTTCAGATACCCATAATGAATTTTTAAACATGGAAAACAGCTTAGGATACATTAAGTAAAAAAATTAGATAAATGGAATGGAGACTTATGCATGCAGTATAAATGCAAATACCCGAACATTTAAAAGACTGGAACAGTGGTTATGCCATCAAATGAAGACTGTAGCTAAGTATAACTTTCTTAATATTTTTCTGTATTATTAAGTATGTTCATAATTGGCATATATTCTCTTTTAGAAGCCATACAAAAATGACCAACAAGTATTTAGGTTGAATTCAATTACTCTGATGGATTTAAATTACTCTGATGGTTCCTGAGACTTAGTAATATCTGAAAAAAGCCATTGCCTAGATGCAGGTATACACAGATCTACATTTCTTGCTCAAATCAATAGAACTGCCTATGTATACCTCTTCTTTGAGGTCCCAAAGATACCTCAAACTCAACCCGCCAAAATCAAATCCATTATCTTTTCCCCCAAACATGTGTCTCTTCTAGTGCTATTCACTGGTGACTATTTCCACTATCTTCAGATTTATGCAAGTCAGAAACTTCAGCATTTCCTGATCTATCACAAAGTCTTGTTTGTTTTTCCTTATCCACTTTGTTTTATTTCCTCGAGGCAGCCTGGTCCAAATCCAAAATGCCAGCACTACTTGCTTAGATTACTTATTGTAGCCAGTGGATTGCAGCATCCTATCCATGGTGCCCACTTGTAAACTGTTCTCCACACTGCAACTAGTGATCTTTTGAACTATAAGTCTAACCATCAGATGATCCCTAACCACTTTGTTTAAAATCTTTCCGTAACTCCTACTGTTCTTAAGAAAATAAATTCGTACAATTCTTTATCATGACCTGTAACACCCTCCACGGTCCAATGTGTGATTCAATCTCTCAACCTACGATGCTTTCCCAGCTGTTTGTACCCCGGCCACACCGATGCTCTCCTGGTCTCTACCTGCCATATGATCTTTAGATGTTCTGTTTCCTCTACGTAGAGAATTATTCCCCACTCTACCTTGCTCACGTGACTGGTTCAGATATTTGTGCAGTTTTCACCTCCTTCTGCATCCCTTTTATGTGATGTCATGGAAACAGATGTCTCTTTTGGAAACTGTTATAGTTAGAATTATTTGTTTATCTCATGTATGAAAGTTATCTTGATTGCAATCTTATCTTTGTCTAGGTAGTTAATAAATACATCTTCTCCCCTAAACTGTAGGCTTAATAATGTCAGGGACCTTGTCAATTTTTTTGTACATTATTATATCTCAAAAAACAATACATGAAGGAATAAACCATAAAGTACCTTAGTTATAGTATACATTTTTAAGAAAACTAAAATAAATGAACAGATAAATGAAAAATAAGAATAACAGAAGCAGCCACAGAAGCAGCTACATCATTGAATATTTATTATTTACCAGGAACTGTGTGCTAAATGCTTTGCAAACTGTGCTAATATTAATCTTTAAAACACCTATTTTACAAATAAGAATTTGGATAATTAGGCAATTTGTCTATGGACATACAACTAATGTGTCAGGATGTGAACCTAGGTTCGTGTATCTCCCCATGCCAAAACTCGGTATGAAACTATACAAACAAGCATATTATATGGACACGGGGTGTGGCGGGTGGGCAGGCAGCAGTGATCTTGCTTGTTTTGTTTGACTTTCCAAGGGTAGTCTGACCTTCTATCAGCTCGCCTGTAGAAACAGACAAAAGGCCTGGCAAATTATAGAATGAAAATACCCTAGCCTCATTTGCTTGCTCAATATGTGGCCAATCTGGAAGTCACAAGACCTCTGGGTTATTGCTACATAATATACTATCAAATCTATTTATCTCTATCAATCTAACACACTGGTTCTCAACTGAGGTGAAGGTAGAGGGGTGAAATTTTGCCCTGCAGGCGATATTTGGCAGCGTTTGAAGCCATTTGTGGGTGTCGCAATTGCAGGAGTGCAACCACCTTCTGGCTGGTAGAAGCTAAATATCCTAAAATGCACAGGACAGTTGCCAAAACAAACAAACAAACAAACAAACAAACAAACAAACAAACAAACAAAAAACCCTATCTGGCCCAAAATGTCAAAGGGGCCCAGGATGAAAAAATGCTGGTCTAACACAAAGAGAAAACAAATGCTACTTTCACTTCCAAATACAACACAGTAATTCACAGCGGCTACCCCTCCCACTGCTCCAAAACCACAAAAGAACAGACATACCACAAGAGTCAGAGTGTTAAAGACATCAGAGAGCTATGGGAGCAAAGAGGAAATACAAGCTAAGCTCTTTTTTTAGGTAAGGTGGGCAGGGTAGAGAAACTTTTAGAGGTGATTATCTTGATCGTGGAAATAGATTCAGGTGTATACACGTATGTTTAAGGTTTCTAAATTTTACATTTAAGTATTTACAGTTTTATCATATATCACTTATAACTTAATAAGCTGGTTTTAAAAACATTACTCAAGAATTTGCTGATTGGTGACATGTGCCCAAAGCACCTGCTGACACCTCACATATCCAAAATAACCTCCAGAGAACGAGGAATTGTTGCTCACATTCTTTCCAAAAATTAAGATTAGAAAAAAATAGCCATTTTCTCTTTTCTGTACCATCTAAGCTAACTTCTAAGCTGAATGAGATCTTAGTAACACCCAAAAATCTGCAATTTGAGCAGTTTCCAAACATAACAGCAGACCACTAAACCCGGACTTTTAATTTACCCTGATATTATATGTATTTTATGTAAGTTACCAAAATTATTCAGATATTTAAGTATGTACTTATAAAGCCTCCCTAGGTAACCTTTTCCTTCCTAAAAATAATTGTCAAAAAATATACTGTTTCTCAGGTCAGAGCAGTGGATGTTGATATTTTTATTCTAGCAGAGCGGTAAGTTTCCCGATGAATACAATAAATACACCAAAGCTTAAATTTTCAGGAAGATAATTTCTGAGGATGGATATTTGCCACAGTACTCCAAGAATATTTATATTTTATAATTTAACTACATTTTAATGACAGTTTAGGAAACTTCTTATATAAAACATTTAAACTTTTAGTTTTAAATATTCACGACTTGAATAAATCTTCTAAAAATTCAAGGTCTACTCTTTGTAAAAGTAAATTATGTGAATGAGATTATGTGGAAACATGAGTTGCAGTGTATGTGTGGGAGGGAGGGCGAACTAGACGATCCAGATGTTTAAGGAGAGGAACAGCTGAAGGAATAATGGTATAACTATAGGGTATGATATTATCCAGCTATTAATATTTTACAACTTTTACAATTAATAAAATAATAGCCCACTATTTGTGGATTCAGACAATGAACATTATGACCCTATTTTCATAGATACAGCCAATCAAAACTGAATCCCCCCGCCCGCTCTCGTCAGGGTCTTTGTGTTTTCTACCCACCGCTGGGGAACTCTGAGTTCCGCTCAGACCTGTGTCTGCACTGTTGAGGCAGCATAGTAGCTGTTCAACTTAGGACAGTGGAACTTCTCACTATATGTCTGTCCTCATGTCTGCAAACAAAATCACCCAATTCCATGTAAAAAGGTACATGCTTGAAAGTACTAGGAATAAAGAATAGATACATATTTCATCACTTCAGTAAGGATTTTGGCAAGGGTTAAACACAACTATACTTTTTCTTAAAAAAACTAAGCTTCTCAAACGCACGCCACGTGTGAGGAACCCATACGTTACCCTCCAGTCCTCTCTGTACCGGAGTGCCGCTGATGCACCAGCGATTGATCCCGCTCAAGCGCTGAGCCATTTCTGCAGCCTGATGACACAAAGACATGGAATAAAAAAGAAAAAAAAAGAAAAACTGCAGAAGTCAGGAACGTTTACTCATGAAAGCAGCCCATGGAAAGCTACGCTTCAGGTCAGGCACACTAGTTCTCATTCAGCAGTTTTCACACTCAGTGTTAACTGCCCTATTCCACAGGCCAACGTACAGCAGAGCATTTCCCATTAGGTGCTGTGTGCCCCCCAAGAAAGGAAGGGGAGTTCAAGTATATGCAGAATGAAAAGGCTCCCTGAACGACTGACACATTCACACCCCTTCAGATGTGAACCACTGTAAAAGCAGATGTGACTCAAAAATTTAGGACAGGTTACGGACTGGCCAAAGGAGACAGAATGAAGACAAGTACGACAAGGGCTGAGTCAAAATTCTACCTTCTAAGGTAGCATTATCATTATCATCTAGTCTCTTTGATAAAAACTGCCAAAGTCAGGCCCTGGCTGGTGTAGCTCAGTGGATTGAGCACAGGCTTGCAAACCAAAGCATCGCTGGTTTGATTCCCAGTCAGGGCACATGCCTGGGTTGCAGGCCATATTCCCAGTATGGGGTGTGCTAGAGGCAACCACATATTGATGTTTTACTCCCTTTCTTTCTCCCTCCCTTCCCCATCTCTCTAAAATAAGTAAATAAAGTCTTTAAAAAAACTGAAAAAAAAAAAAAAAAAACCACCAAAAAAAAAACCCCTGCCAAAGTCAACTTTGGCACAAAGCTATCAAAGACTATGTGATGCTTACCAAAGCCCCCAAGTACAGTTTTACTGTGATCTTCATCACACATAAATTGCTGTCTTATTCAAATATGTATCAGCATTGCGTACAGAGCAATACTTCACAAGGTACCAAAATAATTCCTGAGGGTTGTGCAATTCACAGCATAAGAGAAAAGCGAATGCAAGAGTATTTAACAACAAACTTTGGCAATAGCAACACTGTGGGCTAAGTGCGCTGAAATTATTACATTTTCTATGGACAGCTTCTCCCAGCCCCTTCCCCCTTGTCTCTTCCCCAGTCTCTAAAGATTCTGCAGAAATCTCACCTTTACAGCAGGACACTCAACCATCTGAGCTTCGTCGAGGCAGATCCTCCACCACTCCACAGCTACCAGGGGGCTGGGGATGGCCATGTAGCGCTTCTGGTTCCGTAAGCGACGCCCGTCCTCACTGTTGCTGTGCGGGATATCCACGTAATTGAGCTCTGACCGAAGGACATCGTAGGTGATGATAACTATATCCTGTTCTGCCAAAAAATGAGGCTGTAAAAAGCCATCTTTCTTCACTCCTTGATATACCTAGGGAATAATCAGCAGACACAGATAGTTAACTGCGGAAGGGCTCTCAACGATAACTGAAATAGTCATTCACTTACACCCTCACCGAGCCTTCTCTCCTTGTCTAGGAACAAAGGTGCTTTGAGATGTATTCCATTCCTGTCTAGAGCAAAGACATGCTTTCGTGTGGAAGACTAATAACAGAAGCAATGTAAAAGGAACTGTAAAAGAAGTAAATGTGACAGCCTCACAGTGGAAGGACCAGTTTTATGGCTGAGACGGTAAATACGGAGAGGAGTTACAATTTGAGGTGGATCTTGAAGAACACTTCAGAGTTCTCAAGGGGAAGAATAGGGGAAGAAGACATGACATGTAGGTAGGTAGGCAGATGGAATCAATCAACAGCATGTATGAAAGCACAGGGGCATGAAAAACCAGGGGAGTAAGAGACCTATTATCCACTGAACCTTTTATGTCTCAGACACTGTGCTAAGCTTTAGCTATCTTTGACAACAGTCCTGTTAGGGGTTTTACTATTCCCATCCCACACGTAAGAAACAGGAAGTGACTTGCCCACAACTGGCAGAGCCAAGATTCAAACTAAGGTCTGTTTACCCCACAGGAGAGAGCTCCTGAATGGCAAAGATGGTGTTTTGCTTACTACTGCATTCTGTCTCCATGCCTATGATAGAGGCTGAAACATACAAAACCTGCAATGTCTCAATGGAAGGAAGCAAAGAAGACCTGAGTGTAGAACACTAATAAATGTAAACAATAACACCGAATGACCATATACCACACGTGCCAGCACTTAATAAATAATTTAATCTTCACAGTAAGTCCGTGAGGGATACTGTTTTCAGAACTTAGCACAAAACAGGTGCTCAATAAATGTTTGTTGAAAAAAGTAAATTCTTATTTTACAGATGAGGTAACTGAGGCTTCAGGGGATGATTCTGGAGCCAAGAGATGGTGTATCAGACAAGTCGTTACTATCACAGAATGCTGTTTTTGAACTGCATTTCTCTCTGAATATAAATGCTCAAAGACTTTTTCATTTACATGATAAAAAATTTTTCAAAAGCTTTCATATCTTCCTGCTCAAGTACTTAGATATCAGAAAAGTCTATTGTTCTATTTCATATTCTCAACTTCCCCTTCAAGTTCTGATTTAATATTATCACATTAACTTCTGGAATGGACACTGATGAGACAAATATAAAACTACCCTAAAGTAGCAAACATTTACATTTTCCTACTCCTTTAAAGAGCCCAAACAGCCTTACCAAGACTCGAAGGGATGAGGACCTCACGTGCCTGTTGACCTCGTCCACCCACTGATGGCAGATGGAACTGGGCGAGATGATCAGAGTTGCTCTTGTCGACACCGGCTCCATTGCAACCAGGCAGTGGGGGCAGTAGAAAGGCTTAATCTTCAAGTTCTTCTCTTCATAATTCACACACTCTGCGTGTTGCCACAGGTGACAGTTCAGGCACTGGACACGAGGCTTACGGTCCACGTGGTCAAGTTCACCACATATACACTCAAAGCGATAATCAGACGAATTATAGACACTCATGACATTAGAATGTGCTGCGTCACCGCCTGCAGGGTTGAGAGGTTCAGCTTGGTCCTCTGTTGCACGTTCTTGCTGGACTTCAAGGTCACATGTGCTTTTGGTAACATCAGTAATTCCAGAGTCACTGGTAGCTGGACCACGGTCTTGTGAACTGAGATCCATGCCGGGCGGACCTTTCCCCTTCTTTGTGGATGAAACAAGCTTTTTCTTCACCTTACTACGATGTCTCCTGGGCTTGTCGTAGTAATAGTAGGGGTCATCATCATCATCAGAGGTGTTGGACGGCAAGTACTCAGAGTCCGTGTCCTTGCCCACTGACTTCCTGGGTTCTTTCTGGATTTTCCTTGGACTCCATACTGCCTACGGAAACCATTAGTTAATCAAGTTATTTCAACAAGGTACAGGTCTGAAGTTAAATTCCCAACTTCATCTACGTGCTTTACATAAAAATCCTGCTCCTCTGTCCTGGGGAGAACGACTCCTGATCAGTGGCTTTCAAAGTGCCCTCTCTGAGAACCCTCCCCACAGTCTACAGGTCAACGAGGAAAGGAAGGCCTACTGTTCTGAGTAAGTCAGATTTGGAGAAAACAAAAACGACAAAGATAAAGGGAGCTACTACTAAAAGGTCTTCACCTTTTCTAATTTATAGTCTGCCTAAAACAATAAAAAACTAGTAGTTTATAATACATAAACATGCAAACTAGGGCAATTATAAAAATACCAAGAACAAAAAGACAGCATTTGAAGAAAGGGAAAGTGAATTTACTGGTCACTGCATTTGGTGAATAAAGCCAGTCTTTCCTTTCTACTGTGTCACCTCCTGCAATTACTTACTGAAGGACAATTCCGTGTGAGGCTGGGGATGCACACGTGAGGGACATACAGCTGCTGGTAGCAAAATGGTGTGTTGGAAAAGAGAGGGCAGTAAAAAGTGGGAGGATTCCATGGGAATGTGTAGGAGGGGGGTGTCACTGCAAGGAGCCGTGATTTGAAGGCAGGTGCCCGCGACAGCTTCCTAAAAGGGATGTCAGAGCCAAGGTGGAACAGAGGAGTTGGGATACTTCACGTGAAGTGAACAGTATCAGTGGAAGGAGACTGTCTTTTTTGGGTGACAGAAGAATTAGTAAAGGCACAGAAGTTCAATGCAGTCTTCTACCCCGGCTGAGGGAAAACCGTTGGAGACTCCCGGCTCAAGGAAATGATCCTTTTTATGTAGCATTCTTCACAGTAGCCAAGCTGGTAGCTCCACACTTGGACTTGCTGTCATTAGTCTTTCCTTAATTAATGTTTACAAATTTGTAACTATCTTCTTAAGAGCAAATTGAAATTAACTGCCAGAAAGAAGCAACTTTTTAACAAAAGGTAACAATTTTATAAGATGATGGATATGGAAAAAGTGAGGATTTATATAAAAGATTCAAAATGTATATAAAGAGCTATGTACATACAAGGTATCACTAACATTTTAAAAATATAAACTTTTATACTGCAGACAACAGCATAGAGAAGTTAAACTTCATAATGTGCTTAACCAACTAATTTTATAACTCAACCAATAAATATCTGAGTACCTGCTATCTGCCAAGCACTCTTCTCTGGGTTTCATGGTAACCAAAATAAAGTTTTCACTCCGACAGAACTTACATTCAGGAAGTAGAGAACATAAGCGGTAGCCCTGGGTGATGTTCCTACTGATTTGCTTTTTTACCTTCCGACTGTAAGAGCCTCACTGTCAATATGGGATCTGCCAACTCATGCTGTGAGGCCTCACACACAGCTACTTAATACCTGCTCGGTTACCTGCTTTTTTGTTTTATCGTGTATATCCTCTTCCTTGTAATTCTTCCCCAGTGTAAAAGTCCCAGAGAAACCATGGCCTTTGATCTGTTTCACAAGACCTTCAAAAATCAAACACTTCAGCATCCGCTTCAGAAGACTCCTGTTCCGCTGAACATCGTATCCATACATAGAACTGACATACTTATAGATGGAAAGGATGGAGACGCCTTTCTTTCCATTCATTTCTTTCACAGCGGTCAGGATCATCACACGTGTAGCTAAATGCAAAAGATAATCCTAACTCAGTCAAAATAATTAAAATGAAAAGAAAGTAAAACTCAGTTCATCTTACTGTACACTGAGGACCAAGTTAACAGAAAATAAATCAAAGATTTATTGAAGGTATGCTATCCATATACTGTCAATTTGAAGACTATGTAATACAAATTTATCTTAACACATTAAGAAATAAATTTCTGCAATGAAAATAACTTAAGAATTATCCATGAATCTGTTAATTTTTCAAAGCAACTGTTCTTTAGGCTTATCAAACAAAACCTCTCAAAATTATTTATGTATACACTATTATTAATAAGGGAACATTCGCTTGCTAGCAGAAATTACAGTAGCTATGCTTGAGAAACAGAGTCTGGTTTAAATTTTAGCTAAAGAAATTTAAATATAATTGTAAGCAAAAACTACTTAGACCAAGTCAAATAAAAACAACTTTACTTTTGTTAAGATACTACGATGTGTAATTGAACCCATTTACACCAAGTATAAACAACTATATAAAAACAATTACTTATAACAATTACAAGATATCTATCTATCTAAAGATGATAAGAACTACAACCAAGAACACTGTAAAAAGATATTTTCTTTAAGAGACTTCATACTTACGGGGGCACTGAACTTTTCCTTTTGGTTCAATATCCATATTTTGAGTGTCTGTGTTTTTTACTTGTCCTCCAGAATGTGATGGAATGAAATAATTCACCACTTTTCCCTGATAAACGACATTCAGTAGTCACACAGTGTTTTGCTTTCAGTATTCTGAGTTGCTTATTAAAGTTAACCTTCCTTCTATTAAGAAGAAGCCAAAGAGTTGTAAAAAGTTACAAAAAAAAGGGTCTAAATATTTTATTCATACATACAAAATTTATTTTTTATTTCAGGGCTTATAGCTAGCTATCACTTTTTTAAACTGTGCATATTATCTTAAGTTATCTAAATGTTAAGTGCGGACTTCTGCAATTAATTTTTTAAGGCTTATTTAAATAAAGAATTAGCCCACTGAATTTATAATAATGCTAAAAATAACTTAGAATAGAAGCAAATGCCAGAAAGAAGTCACTGGCAGTTACAACTGTATGCTCCAACTCATTTTCTCTACAAAGAAAATAGACCTTTTCTATTATCTTCTCAAATCTGAAAAGCTGACTTCGAAAACTTGACCCTATCAGAAGACAATACAATCACTAAGGTTTTGTGGGCATGGTGAACCTTACAGGTAATTACAGTTATACGCTTAATTAGTAGCTCAATTTCAGGATATTTAATTTTGGATTTTAGATTTCATTATGAAAAAATATGAACTCTATTTCCTCCGTGGAATGTTTTTAAACTCAAAAATTTATACTTTGACACACATGTGTATTTTGGAACAAGGATTTAAAGAGTTTATTTCATCTAGCACTCTAATTACTAAGCTACACATGTTGTAAACAAAGTTCTAATTATTATATTCTTGATTTTACATATCTGAGATTTGTACAAATTTTAAAAAATAGTTCTCAAAAGTATTTAGTGGTAATATGGAGACTTGTGGTAGTGACAGAATATTTATGTAACAGTATTTTCTTAAGGGAGCTTCTGTGGCAACTGAAAGGAAGCTTCTTAAATGACAGAACACCCCCCTTCCCAGTCAGCTAACATCACTTAAAAAAACCCTGCCAGGTCACGAACATCCCATTCTCTGTGCCCACCTAAAGTTAACTAACTACTAATATGTGCTTTGTTGCAGCATAAATTGTAAGTGCTGACTTAAGCGCCAAGCAAACGTTCAACACACAATGAGTTATGGGAACACACGTCCCTTCTCTCCCAAGCCCCACAGCACTCCTACCTCAGGAACAGTCAGAGCATCTTGTTTGACGTCTTGTCGAGTGTGTGTCAGGATCAGAGCCAACACCTCCACTGTCTTTCCAAGACCCATCTCATCTGCCAAGATTCCACCAAACAACTGTGGCCCAGCATTTGGGTACTCACGGATAATGCTAAGAGAAGAAAACAAGAAAAATACATCACAGGACTACAAATAAAAATACTGTTCTTAAGGAGAAGTGGAAAAAATGCATGAAGTCTAACTTTTAAAACTACGTTTTAGGGTGAAACAATTCAAATCCCTATTTCATGAATGTAAGAACTGCGATAATCCAAACACTGCCTGAGCAGACGACTGAGTCTGCAGACACAAGAGCAGCCATCATTTTCTCTTCCAAACAGAAGGTGGCATGCCTGCCTTCTTTCTATAACCTTTATGAATCTGGGAATAAAAAAATAAGACAGGCAATAACTACTGATTCACTAATCATGTTTAGTGATTCCTAAAACTCTTTTATAATAGGCACTGAAAAATTTAATGAAAAATATAAAAACTAACCCATAAGATGACTTTTTATTTAGAATTATAATCTATTTATGTATCAATAACCAAACATCTTGTCTCTTATATAACATTCATTTACTGAAAAATGACAAGTATTATTAATTCTATAGCTATCCTACCTATAAAAATGTCTAATAAGATTTTTAACTTAGTATTCCTTCTTGTGGCACTGCCTAGGCTAGAGACCTATATGACCAAACTCATCTAGATTTTCGTAATATTCATTCATTCATTTATTAGAGAGAGGGGACGAGAGGGAGAGAAACATCAACGTGTGGTCGACTCTTATGTGTCCTGCCCTGCAACCTAGGCATGTGCCCTGACTGGCAATTGAACCTTCGGTTTACAGGCTGGTGCTCAATGCACTGAGCCCCACCAGCCAGGGTCATAGTATTTTACCAAACACACAAAGTTTGGCCATACCAGCCTGTGTATGGATTATAGTAGAGTTTCAAACCCTCAGATGTAATGATCTCTCGCCAGAGGAAGTGCAGGCCGCTTTCTAAAAAAAAAGAAAGAAAAATATATAACCATAAAACAAGTTTTCTTTTCTTTTCTGCTAGATCATGATATTAAAGTAAAAATAAGTTAACAGACACTATAGCCTGGTAAGCCACATACACCTGGGGAAAAGACTAGGTAGGATCTTTTTTACTTTCTTCAGATATTATTCTTTAGTTTCTTTTGCTTTGGGCACAAATATTTTCAATATAAGCAAGTGATAAGACAGAAAAACAAAGTATAGCAAGTAACAGAGGATTAACGATAGAAGAAAACTAGTATATGTAATCAACTCCTACCCAACAAAGGAAAGCAGTGTATCTGTTATCAATCCTTCAAAAACTTGCCTAAAGTCTTTAACTCAACAGACCTATGCTACTAGGATAATCCATTAATGCACATCAGATCTAGCCTTTTGTACAGGCCTAAGAGTCAGAGGAAAGGCTTGGAAAAAGCACCTAAAACTGGAATACTGGTTTCAACCAGAATTTCCCACTATCCTCTCCTCAATATTTTAAGTTGTTTAAACCAAATGCCAAATAGGAAGTATGTCTCCACCAACCAGTGAAACACAAATGATTTTCTGTTGCCTTCATTAAGGATTAATAGATGAAATAGTACTATAGATACACAAGGTTTAAAAACAGAACAATGAAAAGATAAAAGCTTCAATTTATGGGAACCATAGGGTACAGAACTACTAAACAACACATGAGATTTAATCCACCAAATCCAGTCAGTGGACAAAAAAGAATGAATTACTTATACATGGAGCACGGGTGAACCTCAAAAACATTATGTGGAAAGCCAACTCTCCCTCCACCCCAGGGGTTCCATTCACTGCTTCAAAAGCAGGTAAAACTAGCTTATGGTGACAGCAGTGACCTCCTGACGGGGCTGAAGTATGAGACCTGACTGGTCCATGAGGGAACTTCTTAGGGTGTTAGAAATAGTTTGTCAGCGCTGCATAACATAAATATAAAAAGAAATAGGTAACCAATTTTAACAGTCTACTTTACTTAGCCCAATAGGACCAAAATATTATTTCAATATGTAATCAATACAAAAATTATTAATGAGATCATTGACACTTTTTTGTACTACTTGAAATCTGGTACCTTTTAAACTCAGACCACATAATTCGGACAGCTACATATCAAGTCTCCAGAGCCATGTGTGGCTAGTGGCTACTTTGGGCAAAATCTAGTTCTGTGTCTTAATTGGATTGCCAGTTACACAGACACATCGATTTGTCAAAACTTACCAAACTATGCCTTTAAGATCTGTGCATTTTTATGTAAGTTATACTTTAATAAAATTAATTAATAAAAAATGCTTTTATTTTGGAGAAAAAAAATAATCCAGTCTGTGGGACACTCTATAGAGCTAACAATTTTTTCAACACCAAGTTATAAGATAAAAAATAGAATGAGGAAGTGAGATAAAATCTAGGTATTAAAAGAAACTTGTGAGGCAGCAATTAATTCCAATGTACAAATGTTATTTGGGTTCAGATCTGAACAAGCTATAAGAGAGAGAGAGAGAGGGGCATGGAAGGATGGGAAGGGAGGAAGAGATTTGGGGTTATCAAGGAATTATTGGGTTTTAAAAGTCATCATTATACATATATCTTATATGTTTAAAAGAACCCTCATCTTTTACTGAAATAAACTGAAATATTAACAGATAAAATATGATCATTACTACCTCAAAATAATTCAAAGTACGGGAGGAGGAGAAATGGGAAGAAATAACATTGGCCATGAAGTTTAAACAAATGAAGTTTGTTGGATAAAAAAAATTATAAGCTGAAACTCATGGGATAAATAAGAGCTATTCATTGTTAACTAAAATAAATCTGTTATTTATTTTAGAGGAAGAATGAAAAATAGTCATGTAAAGATCTCACACTATGCCCATCCCTCTGGGTGACAAAGAAGCAACATTTATTCTGTTACTTACTTTGTATAGTAAATACAGTAAATGCACACCTAGGACAATGAGATTAGTCACAGGTCTCCCACTTTGGCAAATTTGCTCTGTCACTAATATTCACCATCAAATTGTGAATCCTGTTTCAAGTGATTTAGCAAGATTCCCATCTGATCCGATTCTAAAAGCAGTTCTTAGTTGTAAAGATGTAAAAAAATTGCTAGGTTTTTAAAAATTCTGATTAAGGAGGCCCTTACTTTGCCTGGAGAAACCAGCTCAAATATTTAAGAAGAGAACTCACAGATTTCTTTAGACTTCGAGTTTGAGGGATTTATCAGAAAATCATTTTGTTCACAGTAACACCCATTTTATCCTATCTTTTAAATATGATTTTTTCAACGATCAACTCCCTCTCCCCTGCCCTAACTATCTCTCACATAATCCCTCTGATCAATACGCCTTTCTTGAAACATCTTATACTTGCCACCAGCGGGAGCGCTTCTGAAATGCTCTTGTTGCAGCATCCAGTTGACAGCCTCTCTTTGGTAAGGTCGCAACACGGGAATCAACGCAGGGTGCTGGACGTCAGCTTGGACGGACTGTGTTTCCTGCTGGTGCGTTTGCTTCACAAAGTGGTAGAGCTCATCAATGTCCTGCCCCTCTGGCTCACTATCTGAATCTTCCTCATCCTCTTCCAGCGCATCTGTATATCCAACAACGAGGTACTCAGAACAACCTGATCCACCAATTGTAACTCCAAGGAATTCTTATTTCAAAAATATGCCTCATACTCTCTCAACTCTGGGGACTTCATCAGTATTTTGTGACTGCAGGACCCTACCCTTAATTCACTGATCAAAAATCTACCCATCTGGCCCTGGCTGATGTAGCTCGAGTGGATTGAGTGCTGGCTTGCAAACCAAAAATCTACCCATCCCTCATTCAAATGCCACTTTCTCTATGGCATTTCCCCCCCACTGGTTAGAATTCATGTTCTCCTCTGTGATCATGGAGCATCTTTATGCTTTGAATAGAGCACTGCGCTGCATTCTGCTGAAAGTGCAGTCACCTGAGTGCACTGTCCCTTCTGCACTGAACTGTACTGTTCCTGGGGGGGAAAGGCTGTCTTTGGTTTGTACAGCTCCTTGGAGCAGGAACATGCTTTGCCCAATGTGCATATTTAATAAACATTTGAGGAACTAAATGTAAATATCTTCTGCGGTTTCTAAAATGGTAATTTATTCCACTTTTATACCTTCATATAGAAATATCCATATGCACACATAATTTCTCTTTATCTAACAAGGCAAGGGTTCCCACTGTATATCTTAGGCTAAAAAAAAGATTTCGGGAGCAGCTGCAGCGCATTAGGAAATAAATGTGTAAACTGACAACATAAATTTGTGCAAATATCTTGTTCACTTGTTGGGTACAACTGCCATGGGGAAAATTTGTGCCCTTCCATAACATGAAAAAAAAACAAGATCTTGAACAAATTAACAAACCCTCATTAGCTAATGGTTTATTTATGAATTGTTTCTAAAGATCTATAAACTGTTACAGGACATAATGTTATATCTGCTACAATGAAAAGTGTAACACAAAGCACATAATTTACTTTTCTCAATAAAAAGTATGTCATGTAAAGTTTTTAAAACTTTACAATTAATATTTAGTTATATGTTGGTTATTTCCGACTATTATGACTTACTTTTATTAGCATTATGAAGCTTTACAAAGCATGTCCTGCAGAGACAACCAGTCAAGCTAGAAACTTATTTTCCGAATATTTCAGTGTGAAGATTTGCTCCCGAAATAACACTGTTCCACCACGAGCAGGACTTGGAAAATTCGGCCCGTTTTCCCGTAGTGCCAATGGGCTGCACCAAGCCATCCGACTCTCCCTCGGGAGGCCATGGCGGACAGCTCTGAAGCTGTAGTCCTGACCCAGGATGCAATCAATGTCTTGCCAAAAAATGGTAGCAAAATTAACCATTCTTTCGGGAAGCAGACTCTTGAGACTATTTGTCCTACTGCAGAGAGGTGGGAGAAAGGCCAGCCAAAAATCTCTGGCCACAGCAAGATAAAAGCACAGGAATATTGAAAAAATTCCAATCAGCTTGGATCCCTTTAGACTCTGCCTATCAACTTGGCAAACATTTCTTGACTATTTACTATAAGGTAAGCAGAGTATTAAGCAAATCAAATCACAAATTATATTAGTGGAGTCATTTCAAAAAAGTATAATTTTGTCATATGGAGGTTTTTAAATTTTACTATGGTTTTATTACCTGCTTTAGAGTGGGGGGGGCCCACAATACTTAAAAGTAACAGTGATGTTTAAGTTTATTTAAAAACATACCTGGAATAATAATATTATATAACTTCTCCATCACTCTCTTCATGAGTTGGTTGAACTTCTTCATTCTTGAACTTGCATCACTCAAAAAGTCTAGTTTCGCTAGGCCATCTTCCAAAAGGTAAATTCCAACCTACAAAAAAATTGATCGACATAAAAACAGTTTAATTGTGCTAAGCCACTCTTTATGAAGACAGAAGAAAAACATTTTTTACCATCACCATTTTAAAAAAAGTAGTCACAATATTTGCCCCACAAACACCAAATATATGCTAAGTCTCCCTTACATATTTTCACTTTCAGTAACAAATTCATCCCACAAATGCAGCGCCTACTATGTGCAATGCACCATTCAAACTGCTAAAAAAAAATACTTAACTGAAACCAAACCTGGGGCATGTGATGAGAACACCAACTCTACCCACCAAGTCAGTGATTTCCAAACCTGATGAGCATCAGAATAATCAGCGAAACTGGCTAAGAGGGCAGATTCTCCCAGAAGATTCTGACATACAGGAGTCACATTTTGGAAACCCTGTTACTATATCAGACATTAAATGTATAAGAAAACTGAACCTGATTAATGTTTCATGTCTTGATTCTGGTGAAGCAATGCAGGATGAAATTTTAGTCAAAATACTTGAATTTGAAGAATGACATTGGTATTTAGGAGCTAACTCAACAGCAAAAGAGTACATTGGTTTTGTTTTCATTTGCAAAATGGACAGAAGCCTGTATGAGGTAGCCTAGATGCATTTAAAAACGTCCTAACTCCAAATACCCAGTAAGTGAAGTTTCCCACATTTCCCTCTATTTTCCTGGACCTGATTCCCTATTCACTGAGATTCTCATATTCTTTCACCAAAAAACAAGAACCCAACCCAACATTATATAGGAATGTGTGGCAAAGATTATATTTCATTAACACTTCTATTCTGGCTTGTATTCACTTAGAGATGGCTTACTATAGTAGCAATAAATGTTTACATAGTTATAAAAATCAAGATCGAGGAACAAAGAATAGATCAAAACTTGATTGTGAGGGAGGTGGACAGAACAGGGATGCAAATCCATGAATTCTTATTTGTTACCTCTGGGCCGCAATGTGGGCACTCAATCTGCAAAGGGACAGGGTGCTAGGCTGCAGACTCTCCTTGTCTAGGGAAGAATTACATTTTCATGCTTCTGAACTTTCTTACTGTCAATTCTGAAACTAAAATAGGGCTATAATGTAATTGCTTTTCATGTGAGAAATGCATAAGACATAGTTTTCATTGAACAAAGGTGAATTCAACATATCAGAATTTCTTTCCAAGTTTCAGCAAAAAGGAATATTGACCTGATTTATAGTTTACAAAGTATATTTACTTACATTATCTTACCTGATTCTCAACACAATTGTATGAGGTAAAAAAGAAAGGGTATTTTTAAATATTTTATACAAAAAGAGGCTACAATTAGAGCATTCAAATGATTCACAGAGTGACTTGTCTAGTGAAGAGCCTAAAATGAATAGTGAATTTATTCATTCATTTACTGACAATCTCTTCAGTATCAGGCATTTTACCAGGCTGCGAAAAGACTCCATAGTCCAATAAGGAAGAAAGATCTAAAATGTAAGCATGCCATGAGAGACCAGAGCAAAATTAAACATATGCATCAGGTCCGATGGGAAAGAGCACATTAACACCATCCACGGAGTTTAAGAAAAGCTCTACTTAGATGAAGTAAACTCTGAGCTGGATATTAAAGAATAGCCAGGAATTACCAGAGAAGAGGAAGGAGGCAACCCAGGCAGAGGGAACTGTGAAAGCAAAAGCAGACACAGAAAGATGGCAGGGAACAAAGGAAGTTGGAACTTCTGGGACAAAATAAAGAGCAGAGTGATAGAAGATGAGGCTAGAGAAGAAGACAAGAGTTTATCAAAGGAAGGACTTGCATGCCAGATTATACTTAATTTTATAGGTAGTAAAGAACAGAATTCCATTTCATTTTGTATTTCACTATTCTAGAGATAAAGCAGATGAAGTGGAAAAGGCAAGCAGGGAAATGGTTAAAGGATTTCTACAGGAAGAGAAAGAGAAAATGAGGGCCAAAACAAGTCATTCAGAGTAGAGCTGGAGCCCTGGCTGGTGTAGCTCAGTGGACTGAGCGCAGGCTTGAGAACCAAAAGGTCGCCTGTTTGATTCCTAGTCAGGATGCATGCCGACGTTGTGGGCCAGGTCCCCAGTAGGGGATGTGTGAGAGGCAACCACACATTGATGTTTCTCTCCTTTTCTCCTTCCCTTCCCCCCTCTCTAAAAGTAAATAACAAAATCTTAAAAAAAAAAGAGTAGAGCTAGAAAGGAAGAATTTGGAAGATCTACTTGAAAAAGTTCAGCCTGAAAATAATTAACTATAATATAGATATAAAAGTGTACTTTGAAACTTAACGATAGGTTTATCGCTGGCTTTTCAGACCTTTCTTCTAAAGTGACTTCAGAAAACACTGCCTCAAGAAGAACCTGAAAAGACACCACAGAAATTGAGTACCTTAATAATGTCATTTCCTTCTGGTTTCTGGAAAAGTCTTATTCTTCTCTTCTTTTGCAGCCACCCCAAATCTTCTAACATCTCACCACTGAAGGATGATTCCACTCGGATACCCTTGTCACAAACACTGACTGGCTCCTTGAGTCCTTTTTCTTGTTTCTCTACATCTGTGTCTTCTGGATGAACATACATCAGGAACTGACTGCTTGACTCTGAACTCATCAGTGTGAAACTCCTTTCAGAAAAATTTTCAGCTAAATTCTGTTCAGGAAGAAGCTGAAGAGTGAATTCTCCTAGAAATGCTTTCCAAAAATTATCAAAGTGACAGGGAGAAATCACAATACTCAGCTTTGCAGATGAAGGAGAAAAACTGTTAGCAGTGTCCTGTTTATCGACTGATTTTGAGGTGCTCACTGCCTCTGGACACCACCTTTTAGCACTGTGAGCTACTGCTTCTGTCAGACTATCATCTGGGATGATCCACTGAGCGGAGGAGGAATCTGGCCCTGGGTCGGGCTGCTCATCATCGGTGAAGACGAGAGGCTCGTTTCTCCTGTCCTCGTGCATGTTCCAGCAAAGCTGCTGCTGCTTCTCTTCATCCACTCTCACCGGGGGAGCACGTTTCCGTCGGCTGCTCATCTCCACGGGTTCTTGGTTGATAAACGTGAACTCTAGAAGACAAATGCAACAGTAGGCACTCCAAGAGAGGATTTTAGTGTTATAGTGCTCCCAGATGAGAAATTCTGCATGAACTAATAGTCCATTCACGTAACATGAAATCTGCAGAAACACAAAAAGCAACGGGCAATTTTTTAAAATAAGGCAAACACAGCTAAAGAACACACTGACCATAAACTCATGCAGTATATGAATTCTGATGGTCTTACTGGTCATTAATGTATACATTTAATGATAGTAATTTGTTACATAAAATAAATTCTAAAAAATACATTTAATGAGCAGCATGTCAGTAAATCTCAAATGCCCTAGAAACACATATTTAAAAAATTTTAGTTACACATAAACTATTATCATTACTAAAGTATTTCAAATTTGTTTTATAATCCCAAACGGTTAAGAAAACTTCACTTGATCCTAACATAGTTGAAAAATCCCTAAAAATATACTTTTTCTTTCAAAAGATGAAGATGAAAATATAGACATATATTTCTTTTTGTGGATTAGCAGATAAAAGGGACAAAAGGGGTAGCTGAGCAAGGAATAAAGTGGCGATGGAGACGGGGGGGGGGGAGATGAGCAGACAAAGTCAGAGAAGATAAGAATGTATGGAAAAAAGGAAAAGAAAGCTTCGCTAGCTCAAAAGAGAAAACTGGTCTGAAAGCAGCCTATTTGAGCTAGGCCCCAAAAGTGGACTTTTCTCAAAATAATAGCCAGTTCCTACATAAAACACAGAATAACTCAGACATTAAATCATAAAGTCATAATGATGGTTGGTACCTATTTCAATCTACTCCAACCATGTAGCTGGGGGGAAAAAAGATGTATAAACCACGAAAAATTGGTTTCAAGGGCAGTTTTAGAAGAATTTCTGACAATTCCATTTTTCAATGAAATCCAATCAGGTATTTGCAGAGCCCACGTTATGTACTGGATACTGTGCTACATTTCAGAAGATAAAAAGAAGTATAAATCAAACAGGAGTTTTTGATTCAGAACAGACACTAAACTGTGTTTTGGTTTCTTCAATTGGAGCACACAGTGCAGTCTACACCCCTCTACCCTCACTAAGCCCCCATCTCTGTTCCAAATCTAGGAGAGAATGAAAAATGTGCTTTAAAGAGACAATTCAGAAATACACAGACCTGTTTAAAGCTACAACAACAATAAGCAACAACAACAAACCACCAGGGAAAATCCCAGCTGATCAGAAACTTAGAGCAATCCCTAAGAACAATACACAGGGCATCAGACTGAAAAGCTAAGTGGTGGTGTGAACTAGCACCAAAGGACGGAGCATCACCCAGAGGGCTTCCACTCGCAACAGTGGCAGATCTGGTACTAGAACCCAAAGTGGGTCCAGGGCTAAACACAGATAATAATAGAGCAACAGAGTGGGAACTGGCAGGTCCTCACCTGCCCTCTGTCTCACAGAGGAAGGCAGTGCGGTGTGGGAATCTGTTTTCTGGGAGGCCAAGGCCTAAACCAGAAAGATATCCATTGTTACTGAGTATAGAAGAAAAAGCTTATGACAATGGACTCTGCCTAGAAGAGAGCTTTCCCCCATCATCTCTGAAAACAATAGAGAACAAGTGCCTCTGACCATCCCCTTAAGCAAACTGTACGAGCCAAAACAATGAAAGTGAGGCAGGGAATCTATCACTGCCAAGATGAGCTCAGAATCAGCAATCAAACATTAAATGATCTTCAACAGGAAAATAAATCAAGGAACTTTCACTCGAGGAAACAGATGAAGAAACCGAAACAACTTTGCAGTTCGTACAATCACCATATCACACCCCCAGGGAGATAATGCCCTGTTATCTTAGGAACAATTTGTATGAGGATAGATAAAGAACTCTTGCAAATCAGCAGTAAGACCTTATAAAAAACGAACAAAAAAATTTAACACATCAACAAAAATGATCTACAAGTAGCGGGAAAGCATATAAAAATATCTTAACCATCACTGGTCATAATAAGGCAATGCAAATTAAACCCACAAATTACTCAAGAAATTACACATCCACTAGAATAGTCAGAATAAAAGACTGAGGGTGTTGAGCAACCAGAATGGAACTCTCATATATCCCAACAGGAAAAGTTCGTCAATTTCTTATACGATTAAATGTATACTTCCTGCACAGCCTAGTAATCCCATTCCTAGGTATTTACCGAAGAAAAATAAAAACACAGATTCCCAAATAAGACTTAAACTTGCATGTAAATAGCAGTCTTATTACCAAAAGCCCCAAAGCAGAAAAACCCAAACGTCCATCACCTGGTGAATGGATAAACAATGGAAAACTACTCTGTGATAAGCTGCTGATACAACATGGAACAACATGGATGAATTTTTAAAGCATCATGCTAAGTGAAGGAAGCCAGATGTGAAGGACTACATACTGTTATGATTCCACTAATTCTAGAAAAGCAAAAACCAAGTGATAAAAAGCAGATTAGTGGTTACTTGCAGCCAGGAAGTAGGAAGAAGTGATTAAAAGCCAAGGAACAGAAGAGGAAACTTTGGGGTGACAGAAGTGATCCTACGAATTTGTCAAAACTCCTCAAGTTGTTTACGTAACAATGGTGAATTTTACTATATGTAAATCACGCCTTAATAAAGCTGATTTAAGAAAGCAAAAACAAAAAACAGATCCATGAGGGATTTAAAAATTATGAGATTAAGAACAGCTTTATTTTAACAAACTTGAAAAATCTAAATAAAAGGGGTAGTTCACTTATAAAATATAAATGGATAAAACTGGCTCAAGAAATAGAAAATCTGTGTAGATAACCATAAAAGACACTGAGGTAACAGTACTCACCTACCTAAGACCTACCCCACCTCCTTGCTCGTGCTGACAGAATCCTTCCTTTATTTGGGAACACGGTGGACTTGTGACTTAAAGGGAGGGTGGTTTCCCTGGCAGCCCCAAGCAAGTTGTTCGGTCTGTACAGTCCCGCAAGGTTCCCCGCTAGCAGCGTGTGGCTATTTAACTCTCAGAGTAAACACTATAAACTCTGCTCCTCCGTCTCAGTAGCCACCCCTTAAGCACTCCATAGCCATGTGTGGCTAAAGAGTACTTTATTAGTGCAACTATAGAACATTCTCAAAAGTGCAAAAAGCCTATCAATAAATGGTCTTTGTCAATTATGAGAAGTCCATTCCGTACTCAGTGCTTGGTTTGTGAAAGTGCAGGTGAGGCTATAATCAATCTCTGACTTCCGTTAACTACTTTTCAAGAAACTCATCTCCCCTTTTACCTTGGAAAGATAATATGGCAAGCCTCGAATAACCTAAGTGTTTATCTGTCCAGTTCTCCTCAGAGCACAGGCAAGAATACTGGAATTTGGTAATTCTGATGGAACTTTGAGCATTTAGGCTATATCAGCTTATTAGGTAACTACAGCCACAGGTATGCTGTATACACACCACGCCAAAGCTCAATGCTTGAAATAGAGCAATCATTTATTCCCACGGATATGCAGGTTAGCTGAGGGTCGGCTGATCTGGGTTGGTTTCAGGAAGAGCAGTTTGGCACTGCTTAGTGTAGTTTTTATTCTCTTTGTGGCACTGGCAAAGCAACCCACGGATGTTCTTATTGCCGATGGCTGAGGTATAAGAGCGCAAACCCAATCACATATGTATTTTCAAAGAATTAGGTCACAGCAAAACCACTAAGTTTCCAAGGGCCAAAGTAAGTCAAGTGGATAAACCCAAGTCCAGAGGGGGGGAAAGGCATACAGTTCCTTACTGGGTAAAACCGCTCAAGGCAAAGAGCGTGGATGTGAGGTAAGGGGTGGAGAGGGAACTGGACCAGGGATACAATCTATTACTTCATATTACCATGGTAATAACACGGTAGTTATGGAATCATTAATTCTAAAAACCCAAAAAGCAACTGTCTATACAGTTTCACATCTGCAAAGAAATGTGGCTTACAGGAGAGATTCTAATTCAACTTTGGTATTTACTGTGTCGCCTTGGAATAGTTACTTAACCCCTCTGGGCCAGTGTTCTCATTTCTAAAGCAGAGATGATAGCAGAATTGTGCTTACAAATAAAGCACATCATGGTAACAGGAATTTAGCATATACTCCCTAAGTAGTGGTTGCTATCATCAACATCCTGAGAGTACTATAAACTGTTTTACAATAACTAAACTTTCAGTGGCGGGATGGCAGACCATGGATCAGTGTGCCTCAAACTGGACTGCACATTAGAATCACCTGTAAAAATTTAAAAACTCCTAATGCCCTGTACTACTCCAGGCAATTAAACCAGAACTGGGCATACATTTATAAGTTTTAAAAAAGTCTCATTTGGGTTGAATCTTTTCCTAATAGATCTCTATCCAGGGATAAGCTACTTATAACCATAATGTTAACTGGAGGTAATTAATTGGGTACTTGTATATCTCTGATTATATTCTAAATCCTTCTCCTGGTTTTCTTCATACCACGTGAATCCCACCTTGGATGGTTCTACTTCTTCCATCCCCTTAAATATCGGTGTTTATGTAAAATATATTATACGCAATTTGCTATAGGGACCAAACTTTTACTGTCCTACATTTAAATGTAAATTCCTTTTGCCTGAAAGGTTCTTTCAGACTTTTCTGTTACCATCCCCTTCTTCTTCCCCAAAGGCTCCATGACAGGCCTGCTGAGTTGAGGGCCTCTCCTCCTCCATCCAGGCTGCTACGCTGTTCCCGACTATTTGACTATGAACTACTTGAAAGCTGTGCGGGAATAGTATCCTATTCAGTATTAACCTCCCAGTCAGTGCCAGGATGGAAATGATATACAAAATAAGGTGGAACAAAGATCTCTAACTCCATGAATGCCCTCCCTTATTTTAAGGATGTAAAAGTACTTTGCTCACATTTCTTTTTGGATAAGGGTCTCTTAATCACATTCTAGAAGACTGTAGGTAATGTGAAACTATTCTTTATTATTTCTGGCCAAGAATGAGACAGACAAAAGCTGACTGACCTGTACCTTTAATAGAAAACAAAGATAAACTGCTAGGAAAATAAACAAAATCTTAAGAAATAAGACAATAAAACAAATGAATATCAATAAAACTTCTATTTGTATTTTTCCCCCACCAAATTACAAATCCTGAATTACAACAAATCTATGGTAGACCTGGGTTTAGGTTGCTATAGGCACAGGAATATATACTTGCTTCGTGTGTAAGTGCAAGGTGAGCCCTATACAAAGAAAGCCCAGTCATGACTTATGACTGAAAAACTCAACAATCTAACACTACCCCGATCCTTTTCTGCTTGATAACTCCAGCAGGATGAGTATTTTCACCTGTTGAACCCTAAAATACGTTAGTCACATAAACTTGAAAAATGGCTTCGTAAATCCATTTTTTCACCAGCAGAACCTGTTTACCCTAGTTCTTCCTAGCCTGAAATTGACGAGATTAAAAAAATATTCTGCATGCACGGTTCTTTTAGGCTGAGCAAAAAGCTCAACCTCAAGATGGATACGCACACGTAAACCATCTTTCAAAGTAAACTATTTTATTCTCAATTGCCCGTTTATTGGCTAACTGGTCCTCCAAAGCTCCAGGAAGCACAGGCTACCCAGTAAAGGCGCACCTACCCACTACTGGTCATTAACTGTTCCGTTTTCAGCTGGTCACTGATCATAAACCAACTAGTCTTTTTGGTGACAGTACAGATAATACCACGGGTCGTTTTTTATCCATGGGAATCTCATCATTCTTGCTATTACCCAACAGAATAACTAAAAATAGCTGTAATGACGAAAACATTGTTTTATTTTGTTCGGTTAGGGCCTGAAGTTAATTTAAATACAAGTTGGAAAACACCAAACATCTAGGATTTCTACCTCGTGGCTAATGTGAAGTTACTTAGAAAAAAAGGCACAAGCTTAATAGTCATTATTTAATAACACTGAACATCTGGCAGTGACCATCATCAGATAATATACCTTCGTTCACAAACCTACCAAGTACTGCGGAGTCAACGTGAAAGGGTGGTTTTGAATGCGAATGTAATTAATCTAACTCCAAAGGTAACCGAGAACTTTCAGACTAACTTAGAAGTCTCGGCCTCCCCTTTCATGGCATTACAACCTCGCGCCCAAGCAGCTTAGGCAGGTGCCCAGTTCCAAGCCTCCAGAGGCGTGTCTGCGGCGCATGTTGACACCCACTCAGTTTGCTTCAAAAAAACCCAGAGGCAGTGCGAGGAGTCAGAGCAGAGGTGCCAGCGGCAGGCCGAGCAAACAACCTACCGCGAGGCCGAGGAACGCGACAATAGACCCCCAGACGCTCAAACAAAACACTGCACGTCCAAGTCCCTGCAGAGAAGTACAGCCTCCTTTCCCACCACCCCGTCTCTTCCCGGGGGAGCTGTGGCGGTCCAGAGGCCCGCACTTCTGGGACGGAGATGGGCCAGGGGGACTCGCGCTGCGGCTCCATCTTAGCCCTTTAGCTTTCGGGAATCCAGAACAACCGAATTCTCTTTTTGGGGCCTCCCTCTCTGTCTGGAGTCCTCTTCCAAACCCGACCTCTGACCCCTGACCCTCCATCACCTGTGCGCCTTCCTAGACAGGTTCTCCAAGCCTCTTGAGCCTCTCTGCACCAAGGCCCTCTAATGTCGTCGCAGGTGCCAGGCACAGTCACCACCCACCAAACACCCGCGTGAAGTGGACACGCGCGATTTATGCTGGTTTTTGTTGGAGTTCCCGGGGGAGCCAGACACCCCAGCTCCTAGCTGCCGGGAGCGCGCTGGAGCGTGGGGTCAATGTGAACGGGCACGTCGAGTTGCCCCGCCCCCTTTCTCCGGTAGTGGCTTCAAGAGCCACTTCTACGCAAGTCCACACAATTAAAAGACTGAGATGAGATACAGTTAGAGTCTCGCGATAGTTCGGGCCACAACAGTAGATGTTACAGGATTGGCTGGAGCTTCTAAGGGGGCGGGGGAGGGGTGGCGCTCTAAACAAATAAAAATACGGGCAGCGCTCAGCACTGAAGGGGTGGGAGTGTTTTGGAGAAAAGTAGCCGGTTTTTGCGGTTCTAATAAAAAGGCAGAAGAGAATTATGCAAGCTCACTTTATATTGCTTCTAGAAAGTAGGTACTAATTAGGTACCGATGAAGCTTATCTTCCTCCAAAATGTTACTTTAAAAGAATTTCCAGGGAAATATGAGTAAATATTTTAAGTTGAGGGAAAAACTACATGTATTGTACTGAACGTGGCCTTCGAATATCTTGTCATTTTCCCTTCCCTTAAGTGAAAGGTAGCCTCTTTCTCTAGGAGGTAGGCTGACACTTAGTCAAGTTTGGAAAAAACAGGCTTCAAGGCTAAAAGCCTATAAAATAACTCCCAGGAATCAGCCGGCACTTGGTGATTAATGAGTACCCGATAAGGACTCAGCATTATGCTTCGAGGGGCAAGTCGGCAGGTGTGATCACAGAAGCACAAACGTTCTTGTGCGAGGAACATCCTTTGTTGTTGCAGAGACAGCCTAAAGGAGTCCATATTCTACTTGGTACGGACCTTTAGCACAGACTTCTAGGAGTCTGAAAGAGGCCATTTGCATAAACCAAATCTTGTAAAATTCGATGCAAATCAGTTACCTTATACCAGGTTTCAAGAGGCAAGTTGAGAAAGTAGTGCTAATGCTGGAGCAGTGGGCAAGCAGAGTCCCTTTGCATTGAAGAACCAATGATTTTGCTAAGTACAAGATACAGTGTGTTATTGGACAAAGGCCTGGCTCTGAGTGGGTCTGCCTAGGGGCAGCTGTAGTGTGTGGGTTTTTGACTTCAGGTAGGAAAGATTTCACAACAGGAGTCCAAGTGATGAGGAGGATACATTTATCAAAGCTGGGGACTGTGACACAAGGAAGGTCCTAGCATAGAAGAAGGAACAGGAGAGGCTAGGCTCGGCTGCCCTGGCTCACTGGGAAATCAAGAGTAAATGCAACTTCAGGGACAGGTTCAGGGAACAGGCTGCCAGCTTCCCATTGCCTTAAAGTTTAGGAGATGGGTACCTGTGAAGAAGCAAGTAGGAAAAGAAGAGGTTGGCCTGGCTACTCCCCAAAGAAAGAGCCCATGTGCTGGGTCCTTTGTCTTGAGGCTTTTATCTCTTTCCTGCAGGCAGGAATCTTAGTGGAGGTTGCAGGGGAGGGTTTCGGTAGAATATTTATTAGTTCTCCATGAGTGCCCTTTCAGGGTCACGGTCTCCACGAATTGATTGATGGGTCAGTGACAGGGCAGGGTGTCTTTGGTCAGAGCAGTTGATTCTGGTCACCCACCTGGTTTTGCTGCTTTTCTGGGCCTGGAGCAGAAATACAACTGAGATCTAAAAGTTATCTCCCGCGAGGAGAGGTTAGCCTGGTGGTAAGGTCCTTGCTTTCCCAGTTTTGCCCCCAGGCACTTGTGACTTTCAGCCCTGGTGACCATCTGCACCTGGATGTAAATTGCTCCGTGGTGGTGTTCAGCTGCCTGTCTCAGTTTTCCTATTCCACTTGCCAAGAAACTTTTGTAGCTTCTCACTATCCTGTCTCAATGGAACCTTTCTTTTGGAAATATAATTTGTAACTCAGTATTTAAATGTGTATTGTGCTATAAAAGGTTATCTTTGATAGTTTTATGTCACTTACCATCATTAAAGCAGATTTGAATTCAATATTTTGAGTGAGTCTGGCCAGTACAAGGCAGAAATATCTAAAAAGTAAGTATGGCATCATTTCCTTTTTGTTCCCCTTGATTGGTGTAATCAAGCTCTGTAGACATAATTATTATTATCCTGTGTAAAATATTAAACTACAGGTCCAGTTATGTTTGGAGGTGTAATTTCAGGCAGAGAGATGGAATTCTATACAGTATCATTCAGTGGTTGCTATTAAGGTGAATTCTTTCTCTTCAATTACCAATGGGATGTTCAATCCTATATTTGCCAAGTGCCCTGTAAAATTTCTCTATGGAGTAATGTTTTAAAATACTAGATTTATCAGAGCTACAGTAATTTCATTTAAAAATGGTTCATTTTTGTACCTGAGGTCTCTGGAAGCTCCCATCTGTGAAATACCTGTTTATCCCTGAAAACAGAGTTCATCCACCTAGCAGATGCTGATGATCTAAAAGCATTCCACAAGTGGGCATTAATTTATTGGACATAAACCAATCAGTGAACTACTCAGTGTTCATAGAGTTCAACTGCTCTTTCTTGTAACTTTAAGACAGACCACATACTTCTTTGTGTGGTCTCACTAGACCAAGGTTACAGCTCCAGTTCCTTTGGGGGGACAGTTAGCTCTATTCTAGCCATAGCCCTAACTCAGGTCAGGTTTTAGAAATGAATGTTATAAATTGTTCTCAAGGAGAGGAACTGCTGGAGAGGGAGTAGATGAGTTAATGCACATTTAGGTTCCTTTGAGGGCAGGCACAGGATAACTGATGGTTTATGAGAACTTTATATTTTGTGAAGCCCTTTAATGTCCACTTGCTTTTTATTCTTACAATGACAGTGTTAGATATTTAAAATTTTCATTTTACTGTAGAGGGATATGAGACTCAGAGAAATTTGGTGATTTGCCACAGTTTAGTTCTAAGAGAACAGTAGATACTACTAGAACTCCTATAGGTTCCTCCTTATAGGCAGTTGCCTCTTATTAATAAGCCATGTTCTCTGTCACATAAAAACAAACAACATATCACCAAACTTCCTAGTTTGTATGGCAAAAATGAAGGCAAGGGGTGTGGAATTATTTCATGACCCAGGGTATATCAATAATAAGAATCACTCAGGCCCAGCACTATATTTTTTCCTTAAAAATCTCATCAATAAAAATTGCTTGTGAAATTTATTCTGTATTCTACTTACATTTACCTTCTTTCTGGAATTGAACTTGATGGCCACTCAGTATAATTGAGGCTTTCCCAAGATGAATCTTTGTTGGCATTTGCTTCATTCCCATTTGTTTGGGGACTGCTTTCCCTCCTTCTGACAAATTGAAAAAATCAGGGTCAGAGTTACTATTCCAGAATGAAATACAATGTCTGAATCCCTTGTTAAAATATGTGTATTACTTATAGAGAGTAGGAAGAAGAAACATGGTCTTTGAAAATTGGTGCTGGCAGATGTAATCAGCTGTACGGAAGGGAGCGGTTCTAGGTCGAACAAACAAGAAATAGTATCAGAGGGTGTGGGCATGCTTTGCCAAAACATGAGCAGGCCATTTTGGGGGTAGGAGGTGTGTAACATGAATATAAATCTTTTTTTCCCCTTTAAGTCCTCACCCAAGGATATGTTCATTGATTTTAGAGAGAGGAATAGAGAGAGAAAGAAACATCAATTGGTTGCCTCACCTACGCACCCCAACCAGGGTTCAAAACCACAACCTAGGCATGTGTCCCAACTCACAGCGTTTCCGTGCAGAGGGGTGACACTCCAACCAACCGAGCCTCCTGGCCAGGGCCTGAATACAAACTTTAAGTTTAGAATGTCACAGCTTTTCCTCAGGCTAGCCATGGGTAGGTTTAATTATTGCCTTTTAATTTTTATTTTTCCTTCGTTATTACAGAATGTGTCCCTTTTACCTCTCATAATTTGAAAAGCAGAATTTGTCATCTGTACCCAAAATGCTACATCAGACATGAACTATGTCGTTAGGAGAAGGGAATTCACCCTTCCTTTCTAAGTGTTTGTGTTGGCTGTCAGTAAAGCCATGCTTGTAAATCAGGTAAAAGCAAGGATAAGGTTGAAGCTGAATCTGCTGGGTGGGGAAAGATGTGAGATTATATTCAGTATTTATCAATGGAGATAATGATCTGTGTCCTTGGTCTCCTTCCCAGTCTCTTCTCTCCCTCTATTCCCAAATGTTACATTTTCTAATGGAATATTATTTTCCAACTAATTTTGTGAATATGGTCTCTCAGTATTAAGGAACAGGAATTTGTAGATGACTCATTTGATGCTTGTGACTTAAGTTATATTATTCAGTTTTAAGAAAAATACAAGTAAAATATTTTTGAATATTTCAAGTATCTGATACATCAAATATCTGAGGTATCATTTTAATATACAAAAATAGTGATATAACACTTTCAAATTAATCTAAAATCTCAAGAAAGCTTAGTCATACTAGCTTGAGTATAAAATGAAGCTTGGCAGAGAGTAAGAACCTTCCTAAAGCGACTATTCACTAGAAGGACAGCTCTCTGCCCACTCAGACTTCAGTGGTGTTCTACTGTTCTGGTCAATTCTCTGGACAATGGCAAAATTAGATCTCATTTCCACTCTTCAAATCCTGTTAAACTTTCAAATTCCTCTTTGTGTCACAGGTGGGCACAGGTAACTAGGTTCTTGGTGATGGGGACAAAGAATTAAACCGAACACCCAGAGTTTATAGCAGAGAACATGGCAGCAGGCCAAGGGATGCAGGGATTCTATTCTTATAGAGCAGAATCTTCCTGGATAGTTTTGGTGGGCTTTTACTGTGCATGTACAAGTAGTTGTATTACTTTAAAGCCACTGTGCATGTGGTCTCCCATGATTTCCCCTGACTGGCCACCAGAGGAGTCGCACAATATTACTGAATGGACCCCCCATTCTCCTGAGGTCCCCCTGTACTAGGTTCTCCTTGCCCACTGCCAGGGAATTATAGCTCTCCATGTCAGAGATTGGTGAAAGGAAAGGAATTATTTATTCAAAAGTTATACAGACTTAAGAGTAATGCCTTAATGACTTCATTAAAATCCCAAAGTCCCTTAAAACACCC